TGAATGGGGGCACCTGGGTGGCTCAGTTGGTTAAGCGACCAACTGCCTTCGGCTCAGGTCATGATCCTGGAGTCCCGGGATCGAGTCCCACATCGGGCTCCCTGCTCAGCGGGGAGTCTGCCTCTCCCTCTGACCCTACCCCCTCTTGGGCTCTCTCTCTCTCTCACTCTCTCTCTCTCTCAAATAAATAAATAAAAAATTTTAAAAAAGAAGTTATTGTGAATGGATGTTGAATTTTGTCAAATGCTTTTTCTGACCCTATTAAGATAATCATATGGTTGTACTGGCAAATTGCATTGATTGATTTTTGAATGTCGAACCAAACTTGCATTTCACTTGGACATGATGTGCTAAATTTTTGTTTACGTTTGGCTAGCTATGATTTGAAAATATTTTGTTAAAGATTTTTTAATCCATGTTCAGGAGGAACACTGGCCTATAATTTACTTTCCTTGTAATATCTCTCTCTGGTTTGGTTATCATGGTAATGGTAGTCTCATAAAATTAGTTGGGAAGTGTTCCCTTTTCTTCCATTTTTCTGGACCATATATATTTACAAGAAAAATGATATTATCGTGGATTTGCTCAGAAATAATTTGAGGATGGGGGAGGGATGAATGTGAATATAGATAAAACAAGATAGGCCATGAGTTAATATTAAAGTTTAGCAATAGGTATATGGGGATTTGTTATACTTTTCTCTGCCCTTCAGGATATGTTTGAAATTTTCAATAATACAATATTTTCTCTTAAAAATAAATCAGTGTCCTTTCCACAGCTCTATCCTACTTATCAGTTAGTATGCTGAGAGATGAGAGTGTCCTAAAATTTCATCGAAGAGGGAAGCAGAGGCTTAGACACTGAGAGTTCCCGAATCCTTTTAAAGAGTGGACTAGTCAAAGGGTGGACTAGGCCTTCAAAGGGCCTCTTAAAACAGAGATTGTTTAGGGCAGTGAAACAATTCTGTATGATAATCTTGGATATATGTCATACATTTGTCCAAATGTTTGGGTAATAATGATGTGTCAATATACTTTCGTCAGTTGTAACAAATGTCCCACTCTGGTGTGAGGTGTTGATAGACAGGAAAGCTGTGCACGGAGGCAGGGGTTATATGGAAACTCTCTACTTTCTGTTTAATTTTGTGTGAACCTAAAACTGCTCTAAAAAAGAATCTTTTTTTTTTTTAGGATAGTTACACACACTGTTTCACTACTTTCAGTTGTACAACGTAATGATTAAACAACTCTATACATTACGCTCTGCTCATCACAAGTGCAGCTGCCATCTGTCCCCATCTGTCATTATTACAACAGAATTGACCACACTTCCTATGCCGTAGCTTCCAGCCCCATGACTTATTCATTCCACAACTGGAGGCCTGTATCTCCCACTCCCTTTCACCCGTTTTGTTCACACCCCCACCCACCTCCCGTCTGGCAATCATCATCTTGTTCTCTGTATTTATAGGTCTGATTCTGCTTTTTGTTTGCTTACTCATTTGTAAAAAAGAAAATCTATTTAAAAACTGACAATGAAAGCACAGGTTGTCAAACTCCATCTTAGAGTTTCTCATGCAGTAAGTTTGAGGTAGAGCCAAAGAATCTGCATTTCCAACAAGCTCATAGGTGATCATGATGATGTTGGTCCAGCAACAGCAAGAGAATTACCACTTTAATGTAAAGCCTCTGATTTTAGAAATTTCAAGATTTCTTCAATTTAAGTCCTGTGTTCCATCCAAATAGAAAATTATTTAGTTCGCAAGCCACATTGACTCTAAATTCTGTTTGATTCGTTTTGGCAAACTTTGTTTGGACATCTACCAGGTACCAAGCACTCTGTTACCCTCTAGAGATACGAGAATATATATTAATTGCATTTTCCCTGCCCTGAAGATTTTATAGTCTGATCTCCTTATTTTTGGTCCTGTTTATTAATTTTAGAAAATATTTTGTTCAATTCTAAGCTCTTTCATTTGTAATAGATTATTTTTTTTAAGATTTTATTTATTTATTTGAGACAGAGAGAATGAGAGAGAGAGAGCACATGAGAGGGGGGAGGGTCAGAGGGAGAAGTAGGCTCCCTGCCGAGCAGGGAGCCCGATGCGGGACTCGATCCAGGGACTCCAGGATCATGACCTGAGCCGAAAGCAGTCGCTTAACCAACTGAGCCACCCAGGCGCCCGTAATAGATTATTTTTAACTTTCCTTCTGCAAAAAAAATTAACAGTTGAGTTCAGCTTGTAGTATTAGATATCACAATGTTTTTCTACATCTTGGTCTTATAACATAGTCCAAGCCCACCTGGTTTCTTTCAGAAGGGACCTTAGAGATCATCTCATTTGTTCACCCACCCCCATTTTACAATTGAGGGAGCAGAAGCCTAGAAAGATGAGGCAACTTTCCCAGGGTGACTCAGCTAGTAAGTAGCAGGGCTAGAACTAAATCCATAATTCATTGGACTCCTAAAAGAGTGATCTTTCCATGATCTCTGGGCTCATGATTTAAATTCCAACATCAAAAAGAATTATGGATTCCTGTACTTGGGAAATATTTCCCGAATTTCAGTGGAATATCAAAATTAAATTAAATTATTGAAGATCTTTGTGAATTAAAGGAGAAGAGGTACAGAGAAAAAGACAAAGAGATGGAGTGGTGGTGGTGGTGATGGCAATGAGAGTAGTACTAGTAAACTAGTAGCAGGAACAGATAACCTCCCATGTGCTACGCGCCATGCCTTTCTTGGAACCTTCACTCTTCTCAGTAACCCTATGAGTCATGTACAATTATTATACCCATTTTACAAATGGGGAAATTGAGGCACAAAGAAGTTTAGTAACTTATCCAGAGAGACATGGCTTTTGCACTAAACTCCATCTAATGGTCTTGGGTATAATTAATCTCCCCAAATGTAACCTAATTCTGCTAGGGGAAAGAAATAAGTAATAGTTCATCACTCTGTAGAGTTGCATAGTTCTTCAAAGCCCCAAGTCCTTTTTGGAAAGCTTGGCGACTCTCGGTGAGATAGCTGAAAACCAAAGGAAATTTCAAATTCTTCCTTCTAGGACTTTCTTCTAGGCTATAACAAACATAACAACTCTGTTCTTCTGAACAGAACACATACTACATTTTAAAAGTTCTTCTGCACTTGGGATTCATAAATAGGTCAATAGGTTTCACTGGAGTGGAGCCTGCACCAGGTACAGACACAGAAAGAGACCCGTACACACACACACCCCCTCATTCAGTTTCATGGGTAAACAAATATTACCCTATACCCTTGGGAAGTATTTTTAGCTCTCTCAGCCAAACTGGTTTCACTTGGCAGACGACAGCCCCCGTGGGGGGCACCTACTCTCTGTGAAGTGCTTCCTTTTCCCAGAACGGAGATATTGGCACCACATACCTCCTTACCCTTCGCAACATCTGTTTCTACTTGCATGCCAGCTAAGGCCGCCTGACCTGGGAAAGGAAACCAAACAAAGTTTCGTGGTCATTGTCTACCAAAATGTCATGTTTTGGTCTACCCAGACCCTGGAAACACAGGTTGAGAGTCTCAAATGGGGCGTCAAGCATTGGTCTTCCTTAAGAAGGGATTATGGGAGAGAAAAAAAAAAAAACTTCCCTTATTCATCTGTTGGTATTGAATAGAAAATAAGGTAGAGGGGCGCCTGGGTGGCTCAGTCGTTAAGCGTCTGCCTTCGGCTCAGGTCATGGTCCCAGGGTCCTGGGATCAAGCCCCGCATCGGGCTCCCTGCTCCGTGGGAAGCCTGCTTCTCCCTCTCCCACTCCCGCTGCTTGTGTTCCCTCTCTCGCTGTATCTCTCTCTGTCAAATAAATAAAATCTTTAAAAAAGAAAAAAGAAAAAAAAAGAAAAGAAGGTAGAACTGGAGTCCAGATAAATCAATTGGTAAAGTGACTAAGTAGTCACTATCCTTTCCAAAGCACTGAATGTTGCTACAGAGGCGCTACAAAGTATTTAGAGAGATAGAAAGCTTGCCATGAAGAGGTTTCTAAGATAAGCAAGGCAGAATACCTAACATCAGAAAATAAATACGTAAGGCTAAACACACAGCATGTCAAATTTGTAGGACAAGTAGTAAGTATCATTGGCATTCCTTAGGAGCAAAAATCCAGGGTTGGGATGACAGGTAAACCTTCAGTGGCGATACTTGAAGAAGAAAAAATAATAATAACTTATTTTGTGACAAATGAAATCATTTCTTTTAGTTTACCAGAACTAAGTCACATATCTCCTAAGAGCTGATCCTCATGGCATCCAAGAAAATCTCTCTGTTCATATTCCCTAAATATATTTCTTTTCTGCTTCTCTTCTTTTCCTATAGTTGGCTTTTAATTACCTGTAGCAGTTAAGGAGAGAGACTAAAGAGGATAATTCTAGAGATATGTCATACCCTTTGTTTTTGCCTTCAGGCTCTGTTTCCAGTTTTTAAAACTATCACCAGGGTTGCATAATAAACACCAGAATGTAGTGATGTAAAGATGTACATGTGGGGTGCCTGGGTGGCTCAGTTGGTTAGGCGACTGCCTTCAGCTCAGGTCATGATCCCGGGGACCTGGGATCGAGCCCTGCATTGGGCTCCCTGCTTGGCCGTGAGTCTGCTTCTCCCTCTGCCCTTCTCTTCCCCCGCTCGTGCGTGCTTGCTCTCTCTCTCACTCTCTCTCTCGCAAAAATAAATAAATAAAATATTTTCTAAAAAAAGATGTACATGTACAAGCCTACAAAGTTCCCATAACAAGGATATTCATTACAGTATTAAATTATTTGAAGGCTTAAAAAGTGGAAACAACCTCAATATCTATCGATAGGGAGGAGTTAAATATATTGCTGATGGAAAAAGCAAACTGCCAAGCAGGTGTGTTCTCATGTGATCCCATTTAGTTGAAACAAAAAAAGACATCTGTACCTCATGAATGCACCTCATGTACACACCAAGTCCAGGAGGCAATATAAGAAATTGTTAACAATGTTGATATCTGTGAATTTGAAAGATGACTTCTATTTTTTATTATTGTCTGTGCTGATGGAGATTTTAAAAACTATATTACATTTATACTTTTAAAAAATAGTTATTAATACACATGTATGTATATCTATAATATTTACATTTTTGCTTTTCAGATACTCTGCTTTACTAACAAATGACCTAGAACTGCCCACTTAGAGTGAGGCAGAATAGTAACAAAAGGGCCATAAAAATAAGCCATTATGCATGAGGAATCGTCATTACACACAGATTTTTTAGTTTACAGGTATTGGTCATTGCCCCACAGATTTTCTTCAAGCAACAGATGAATGAATATTTTTTAATTCTTGGTGATAATAAATAATTCAAGACCTCAGAAGCGTGAATATCAAAGCTGAAACACATGGCTCATGGAACTGATCACAAATTGAGAGGCTACTGGCTTAAGAAGCGGGAAACATGTTGATAGGATGCTCCGTTGGCTGACGATATTCTGTGACAGTTGCCAGCCTTGAGCAAGATTGAGGAGTGCTAGATGTCCAAGTGGTTCTTCTTCTCCTTCGTGTGCTGAAGCTCTGAGCAGGGTAGCCGGATGGGCACAAACTCTGTGTTTGGGATCTAAAGGTAAGTGAGAGAGGCTCAGCCCGTTCTGCTGATGCACCAGTTCAGAGAAAGTTAGTTGACACAGCCCTTTGCTTTCCTCTTGGCTTGAATCAAATCAGGAAAAGTGGTTTAAACTCAGTACTTTCTCTGCTCTCCTCGGGGTCCACATGTTTCCTGACCCTTGACATTTTTTTTCTGTCCAAGGGCAGTCACCTGCACATGAGCTTAGCTGACAATGACATCCTGCCCATCGCCATGTCCTGGACCCATCGTTGTACTTCATCAATCTGCCCACATCTTCTGCAGATGATTCGCTGCATGTCCAGCCACTGTGCGACCACACCATTGCCTAACCATGCCACCGAGTTGGTTTTCTTGTTTAATAGCCACAGCAACCTTGGAAATGGAAACGTTGGAGTGAGTCTCTTAAAACTCATGAGCTAATTTACATAGTAAACATAACCTCCAGGAATTATTATAATTAAAAGTATGAATACCTTTTGGCTCCAGAATTCACTCCTTGGAATCTAACTACAGAAATGTGAGCACTAGTATGAAAGGTCATATACACTAGATCAGTGCTCAGTCTGCAATGGGATATGACTCTTTGGGGATCTGGTTAAAACACAGATGCAGGGGCGCCTGGGTGGCTCAGTCTGTTAAGCGGCTGCCTTCGGCTCAGGTCATGATCCCGGGTCCCTGGGATCAAGCCCTGCATCGGGCTCCTTGCTCAGCAGAGAGCCTGCTTCTCCCTCTCCCTCTGCCTGCCGCTCCCCCTGCTTGTGCTCTCTCTCTCTCACTATCTCTCTCTCTGTGTCAAATAAATAAAAATAAATAAATTCTTTAAATAGAAAAAAACGCAGATGCAAATTCAGTAGGTTGGGGCTGGAACCTGAGATTCTGAGGATCTATAAAACTCCCAGGTGATGTCAATGCTGCTAATCCATGGACCACACCTGAGTAGCAAGGAGGCTACTATAGGCTCAATACATTATAAAATACCCACATTATTGAGTATTATGCAGGCATTTAAAATATTGAAATAAATATTGATTTGGAGGGAATTCCATAGGGAAGAAAAATAGTATAGTATGAAAAATAGTATAATATGATCTTATTCTTGTAAAACAGTGACAAAAATTCCATTTGTGTATGTGCGTATGTGTAGGATTTTATTATCATAGATAAAATACAACAGAATATTTTTTAGGGTTTTTTTTTAAGATTTTATTAATTTATTTGAGAGAGAGAGAATGCACCAGTGGGTGGAAGGTGGGGGTGCGGGCAGAGGGAGCAGACTCCCCGCTAAGCAGGGAGCCCAAAGTGGGGCTTGATCCCAGGACCCTGAGATCATGGCCTGAGCTGAAGGCAGATGCTTAACCAACTGAGTCATCCAGGTGCCCCTTTTTAGGGTTTTAGTATTAATTACCTTGTAGAGGGGACAAAGGTAATGTGGGAGGGGGTAAGACGATAAGCATTAAAAAAGGGGAGAATCCAAAATATTATACCAAAAATAGCATGTTTGTAATCATATTAATGGAAATTAATGTATATATGTGAATACATGCATAAATATTTTTCTATTCTGAATGTTTCAGATTAAAAAAAAAGTTAAAAGAATAAAACATAAGCACGATAAAAGTAAACCAAAAAATCGAAATCTACATTCTTATCTCCCAAAATTAGTTTTTTAACTTTGGTTAGGTCACTTCCCTGGAACACTTAGAGATACTTTAAATATCTCTAATAATTTCTGTGGTCCCATCTAAGTCCTAAAACTCTATGACCACAGTCGCTTTGGCAAACAGCCTGGTAGCTCCTCAAAAGGCCAAGCACATGGCCCAGCAGTTTCACTCCCAGGTATATACCCAAGAAAAATGAAAATATGTCCCCACAGAAACTTGTACAAGAATGTCAATAGCAGCATTAGTCATAATAGCCAAAAAGTTGAAACATTCCAAATGTCCATCGACTGATGAATACATAAATAAAAAGTGCTATATCCATACAATGGAATATCATCAGACAATAAGAAAGAATGAAGAACTGATATGTGCTACTGTAAACCTTTAATACAGTATGCTAAGTAAACAAAGCCAGTCACAACAGACCACATATTGTATGAGTCCATTTAAATGAAATATTCAGAATAGCCAAAATCTATAGAGACAGAAAGTAGATTAATGGTTAATGTCTTTTTTAGTAGTTGCATGATATTCTATTATATGAATGTGTTATAATTTATTCAATTATTCCTTGATAGGTATTTGGGTTGTCTACAGCCCTCTGGTAAATAATTCTACAATAAATCTTATAAGAGAGCCCATGTATCTGGTGCTTTTGTTTCTTCAAGCTAAATCCTTAGGTGTGTACTTCTAGGTCAAAAATCTATGTCAATTTAAATTTTAATGGGTATAGACATGTTTTAGCAATTCCTAAAAAGTTTTAGCACTTCATCTCCCAGCAATATAGAAAGAGCGTCTTTCCCCCCAGCTCTGGCCTATATTATATATGTTATCAATATTTTAAACTTTGAACAATTTAAGGTGGGGGGAAAAAGTCATTTCATTGTTATTTGCATTTTCTGAGTACTGGAGAAAAAAACATAGATCTGCAGCCAGATAATATCTCAGCGTTAAGTTAATGTACGTGTTTTCTGTGTTCTCTTACTGGTACCTTTGGACTCTGATGGCTATTTTTCTATCACCCACTCCCACCCCCACTCTAAGCTGAAACAAAGACTCAAAGAAACCTCAGGCCTAGAGGCAGAGTAGGGAGGCTTTAATGCCTGCTTTTCCTTTCCCCAAGATTAGATAGTACTGTGGCTAGAACAAAGAAGAAGCGGAAATGTGGAACAGAGAGTCCATCCTAAGTAGAAGCAGAGAAAGGGATGGAAAGACTGGGATTCCAGATCACAGAGTGGAAAGGAGAAATATCTTCCACCAAGAGAACCAGGAAACAGAGCAGCAGGAAATCACTTCCAGGTAGTTCTCAAGAGTGTACTTTCAACAGCTCACTCCCCAACCACTAACCACCAACCACCCTAACGTCCTGGACTCTCCAAACAGAGGAAAAGGAATTTACACATCTTGAAAGATAATAAGGATGGAAAGTGGGGTGTTGTCAGAAAGCAGGAGGGAGAAGAACTTAAAGAAAAACCTAATTACTGACCAAAGTGAGACCAAACAGAAAAGCTGGGAGGTTCCCTAAAAGCCTATTAGCACCCCACACATTGCCACTGTTAACGATTTATCGACCATTTGCCCTTTTATCTCCTGTGAGTTGCCAGTTCATATCTATTGCCCATTTTTTAATTGGACTTTTTTTTTTAATTTCAGTTTTATAAAAGTTCTTTGTAGATTACAGACACAAACTCTTCTTCTGTCAAATGGGTTGCAAATATATTTCCTCTTGCTTGATCACTGGACTTTTGATTTTGCTTATGGGTATCTTATCAACAAGTTTTTGTTTAATGTCAGACCAATGTTTTTTCTTTATTTCTGCTGGAATTTGTCTTGCTGAAGAAAGTTTCTTTAATTGCAAGATTATGTAACTGTTCCTTTGGATTATCATTTTACAGTGTATTAGTGTTATAAAGGTGTTATTTTATACATTTAGATTTTTAATACATCTGAAATTGAGTTGTTTTTGGTTTTGAGGTTTTTTTTAAGTTGGCTCCACGCCCTGCACGGAACCCAACTCGGGGCTTGAACTCACAACCCTGAGATCAAGACCTGAGCTGAGATCAAGTCAGACACTTAACTGACTAAGCCACCCAGGAACCCCTGAAATTGAGTCTTTATATGGAATAAACCAAGTACTGATCTAATTTTACTGCCCGGGTTCAAATCCTGACTCCTCAACTTATTAGCTGTGTGACTTTGAATCAGTTACTAAACCTCCCCGTGTTTCCATTTTTTCTCCTTCAGTTGGGGATAATAAGAGTTTCTATCTTGGGGCTCCTGGGTGGCTCAGTTGGTTAAGCATCTGTCTTCAGCTCAGGTCATGATCCCCGAGTCCTGGGATTGAGCCCCACATTGGGCTCCCCGCTCAGCAGAGAGCCTGATTCTCCCTCTCCCTTTGCCCCTCCCCACCTCCCCAATCATACTCTCTCCCTCTCTCTCTCCCACTCTCTAAAATAAATAAATAAAATATTTTTAAAAAGAGTTTCTATCTCAAAAGGTTGTTATGAGGATTGAGCTAATACATGAAAAGCTCTTAGAATAATATCTGGCACATAGTAAATGCTCACTAAATGCTAGCTGTTAACTGACCCAGCTGAAAAGTCCTGCCACCATTTATTAAACACATTTTCAATTTAAAAAATGCCCCTTTTAGCAATATAAAGATAGCATATGTATATTTGAATCTGTTTCAGACACTCTTATGTTCCATTGATCTATATATGAATAATATATTGTTTTATTATTAGCTTTAGAGCAAATTTTAAGATCTGATGAAGAAAGTTCCTCTCCCTAATCTTTTTCATACTTTCTTGGTGATTTCCCGTAGTATTTATCTGGGGGAATATTTATCCCATATTTATTCTCTCCCATTCATTCACTCACTCCTTCATTCATTTGTTTAAACAAATTCCAGAATGGAAATCTAAAAGCTAAAAGCCTACACCTGCAAGACAAGAGGACACACAGGCATTACAAGTCACTTAGAGGCAACTATTTCACCAAATTGTCCTTAATTTGGAGAAGTGTTAGCTTCTCCCAACACTCTGCCCATGGAGCACAACATAAAGATTCTTGTGTATTTACTTTAAACTGTGTTTGCATGTATGCTTTCTAGGATAAAATGGTTTATCAGGATTTGCAAAATCATTTCCTGTCGTTCTAAGATCAAGCACCGTCCTGACTGTAAACATGTACTCTTCTGTCTGCCCACGCCACTTAGAGGGCACCAATTCAGGTTTCCCTTCTGATCATGACCAGGAAGAGGCCCAATAAATATTTCAAACATAAAAGGATTGTTATAACAAAAGGGTCTTAAAATTCTCCTGGGTTATCTGAACAGCTTTCCGTTTTATTTTGTTTTCACCTCTCTACCCTTGAAACTGGAAGAGTATTGGGGGGGTGGGGAGAGATGAAACAAAAGTTTATGCACACATAGGTTGAGATTAGAAAAGAAAATGAACAACAGTAACAAACAAAGCGAGAATCTCCCAAGTGAAGATACAGATATTAAGGGGGAGAGAAAGCTATGTCAAGAAGACATTCTGACCACAGGCCAGGCTCGGTAATCCCCATTCAGGATGTGCCTCTAGACAGCAAGCAGTTGCTGCCTCAGTGACCACACCATGTATTTGTGTTACAAACACGAACCTACCGGAGCGCGCCTTACACACACCTTACTGTCACCTGGCAAATGGTGCCTGGCTTCCAAGATAAGCTTTATGGAGAGTGAAGAGGAAGGGACATAGGTGAGAGGCCCCCCCCGGGGGGGGGGGGGGGACAAAAAAAAAAAAAAACGCAAAACACTTCCCTTAATCCTTTGATGTCACCAAAGTGATCAGTGATGAAAGAAGCATAATTCTTCCTCCCCCCTCCCCTTCCATAGATTGAAATTAGAGGCGAAATATCATCCAAGATGGCCCTGTTTAAGGAGATGGCTTTCCACGGGCCTCAAACCAAAACCCACAGCACATCATAGTGGATGTGTTGGCTGGACTAGCTGCAAGGCGTTTCTCCAGCTTTCTTTCTTCAAAGTCACTCATGCTGAGTGTCATTCTGCACTATCTCCTAAAGACTTTATTCTTTTAATCTTATATAGATTAAAGAAGGGAAGTGACAACCCCCTGGAAACTGTTACAGAAGCCTGACAGCCCAAGGTAATTTATAAGAGGCTTAAATTTGCAGAAAGTTAAAGTTGACAATGAGATATTTATTAAATTAGGGATAACAGTATCTGGCTCAGTAGAAACAAACTACAGTACAGCAAAAGCATCTGGACAATTAATCAAGTCAATAATATATATTATGCAATGACTGTGAGCCAGTTCTGTGAAAGAGGCTGGCTGGAGAGGCATAAGAATGAGCCACACAACCTCACCCCTCCAACGACCCTCTTTCTTATGAGAATAATACCTAGGCAATGAATTTCAGTAATGTGGGGCAGTATATGATTACACTTTTTAAACTGTGCAGAGACCATACATGCATTTAAACTTCTAATAAGGGAGAAAATAGTCCTTTTGACTTAATTATAATGAGATGATAATGTAGGACTCAAGCTACAGGCTCAGTTCTTTAAATACACAATTTTTTTCTAGTTAAAGTATACTTCTTTTTCTTGAAAGACAACTTCGGGCTTTTTCCTCCTCTAAATTCTAGTATGTAGTTGTGTAGAGAGGATTTTTCTCTCATTAGAGTTCTCAAGTTTATATACGTATTTAATATATTTGACCTGAAATAAAGTAAATAATAACCTTGTATTTTCCTCCCTGAATAAATCTAGTCTTAGCTTCAACTATGAAATCTCACATTAAACCACTTAAGAGTATTTAATTACAATTCTAAATAAGAATGAATGAAATTCTTAAAAAAGAATGAAGTAGGTATAGGAAATAACATGGAAACAAAGCCAATTATTACTCATAACATAGACATTTTCCATAATAAAAAATGGAAGTTCAACAAGCAATCACAGAGAAAATGAACGGTTGCAGACGATGGTGCAAATAACTCAGCCCAAAAACTCCGCAAAACCACTGACAACATGACGTAGGAGGCTCATGTGCCTCAGACCCCCTGTCCACACTGATCAGATCATATAGACAGCTACTTACAACAGGAGTCCCTCAAAAAATGCTTATCATATTGAGCTAAATATCCCCACTTGGAGCAGTTGTACCCTAAATGATTAGATGAATCAGGCAGCAGATGGAGCAATGAATTTGAAACTCATGTAATAATAGCCAATGTTTATACACTACTTGCTCGTTCATAAAGAACTTCCAACTCACAGAAACTGCCTCGTTTGCCCCTAACCAGGATCCTGGGAGGTAGCTAAGGGGTCACTGTCATCCTCACGTTAAAGAACGGAGTCTCAGGTTAAATGACCATACTCACCAGAGGTCACCTCTACAAGTGAACCCCGCTCTCTGACGCTACCACTCACTCTGGCCGAGTTGCGAAAACAGCCCCCAGTTTCACAACTTGTACATGTGCGAAATTGTTGAGGGAAGCCTCTCAAGTCATCAGAGGCGCATATACATAAAATGTTTTTACTCTTTCAAATAAATGCTACTAACGGAGGACAACCTTCCTCCCCCTTTTCCAGCTGGAAAGCACCTCCCTGAATGACCTCTCAGCCTGATTTCATAACTTCCCATCACTTCTTGGTTAAGGAAGCAGACTCATTTCAGGCAGCGCCCTTCCCGGAGCGCGCAGTCGAGGGCGGCCCTGGGCTTAGAGTTGGGGCGCAGAGTGGGGGCGAGGTGGGCATGTCTGCCCCGCAAGGTGAGGAGGCGGTCCCCTCTCCGGGACCACCGGGGCTGCGGGGTGCTGGGACTGTGGAGGCCGCCACACGCCGCGCCCGAGCGTCCGTGGACGGGTGTCCCCGGGGCCTCGTCTGGCCTCGGCGGAGAGTGCCACTGCGGGCCGGGAGGCGCGCCTCTCCGCCGGGCTCCTGCAATGCCCAGCAAGCCGCAGCCCCGGCTCCTCCGCGTCCCAGCGCCCGGCTCTGCGGCCCCGGGCCGGGGACGGGCGCTTCTGCCCAGCCTCTCCCCCGGCCGCCCCTTCACGCCGCTTCTCCCTGGGCTCTTGCCGGCGCTCGCGGAGCTGCGCGTCTACGCGGGCTATCAGCCGGGGCAGAAGATGTCAGTCTTGCCTCCTTTCGGACACCCACGAAGTTCAGATCGAAATCTTTTGGAGACTCGCTCTCACTCCCTAAGCTTTGGGAAGAGGAAGTAGCGAACGCGCCGCTCCCTAGCCGAGGCCCCCGGGCCACCGCGCGCCGGACCCGGGACGCGTCCTGGCTGCTCTCCCCGCACCGGCCCTGGTCCCTGTGCCGCCAGCCCGCCCTGGAGGCAATTCACTTCTGCATTACTTCCGAGTTCAGTGCCGATCTTTACCCCTGTACGCCAGCACCACCAGGTAACCTCTGAGAAAAGCAAAAGATCTCAGGAAACGCCCCCACGCCAACCACAAGCTGGCGTCTGTGCGCGTGAACGTCGCCTTGGTGGAGCGGTGCTTCCCTTCCCGATTTATTTTAGCTTTGTTTCTAGGTGCAGCAATGTGCATTGCACAAAACAGGCTCTCGGCAAAATTCTTGTTTCCTAATCTACCTGACCCTCTTCTGGGGCAGTTTTGTAAAAGCCACTTTTAAAGAACTTGATGTAATTGCATTCATTTTTATACTCCTCACTGTGGATTTGAAGTGGCTCTTATAATAGTAAGTAAACCTTTCCAACTTTTTAAGGGAAAAAATAATTGCAGCAGGTGTTATTAAAGTTAGTATAATGTAAACCACAAGTTCCAGGGTGTGTATACAGCCTTACTCAAGTGACAAAGTTATGAGACCTATTAAAACTTTATTTCAATAATAGAATTATAACCTTTCACTCCCATAGTTCTTAATGTGTCAGGCTCTGTTCTAAAAGTTTTAGAAATGTTATATGTGTTAACTCATTTCATCCTCCTCAGAATCTTTTGGAATAGGCAACCTGAAATTCCCATTTCACAGAAGAGAAAACTGAGGCCAAAAGGAGCAGAATTTGACTCCAGGGTTTGTAATACTTTTAACCACCTCACAATATTTCCTCTCGGACTTTATGTTTCTGGAGACTACAAAAACAATACCTTACATGGATTTCTGTCAGCTCTAGAATTGCCTGGAATTAATTAAAGCTTTACACTTTAACATGACCACTCTGTGAGAACTTTAAGAGCATCGTGCCTTTTAACCTCAACTTCTGCCACCCCCCAAAACCCCTCCCACAAAGCAGATGTGAAAGCATCTCCAAGACAAGTTTCTCGGCCAAGGTCATGACATTAGCGAGTGGCAAAGCCAGGCCATAAAACCAGGTCAGCTTGATACCAGAGTCTGTGGTCTAAACCATGCCACTTTGGGTTCTGTTTAAAGTGAACTAAGTTAGGTTTAAACCCAACCCAACATCCAGCCACCTGGCATAATCACTGATGTTATTATCAAGTCAGAGATTACAAACTGATGACGTCTGGGTTTCCAGCCCCTCTGTGAAGCACTGAAGATCTGGCAGCTCAGGGCTCACGCTGCACGTGCACATGCCCCTTGGATAGGATTGAACTGTGACAGCTTCCCTTAATCATGCAGGTGCTCAACACCTCCCCCCAGTCCACATCACCTAACTCTGCTAGCTGCCTGGCCTGCCTCGGGCATTTGCATTTTTAATTCCAACCTAGGGATGCTCTGGCCAGTGCTGGGTTTCATCTAACCATTGTAAACTGGTGCAGAATATGAAATAAATTCTTGCCAATTGAGTATGGTTTTCCTACAGTGTAAAGCTAGACATTTAGAGTTGGAAAGTTCCAGTCTCAATGCCCTCTTGGTATTAAGCCAACTCAATTTTACAATCCCACATCAAGGGTCTAAGATATGGCTGCTGGTGAGGGATGAGTGGTGCTAAGTCTGCTCTCTGGGGAACACAACCCCTCTGGCATCGGGCTAACGTCAACCTCCGTTTGCCATTTGTGGTCTCAGCAGTCTCATTTCTCTCTCTGTAGATTGCCACCACACGTCTGCTTTAGCCTTCTGAGCCTCCTCTTTTCCTCGGGACCTGGAGGGTAATGACAATCTGTAATATCAGTGTGATTCATGCGTTAATGTGGCGAGATGCTCCTCTGAAGAGAGAAACTTGGCTTCCACAGAGCTCCAGATAAGAATCTGGATGTGAAGAGCAAAGACAAAAGAGGGAGAAGGGACCCCTAGTCTTTACAAAACAGATACAAATGAACACAATAAGGTTGGACGGACAGGGAGGGCATTTGTACAGAACGATGGCTATCTGAATACCATGTGGTTGTCAGAAACACATCTGGGGCAAGAAAAAGAATAATATGGCTGTTCATCCTAACATATTTTGGAAGGCAGCCAACAGGAATACAGTCTCATCATTGAGATATTTTTCTTTTTTTTAACACCATGAAAATTAACAATATTCTGACAGTTAATTTCTTGAGGCTGTAAATTTGTATGTTGATAGATTCTTCCTTACTGAGTATAGAATATTTAGATTACTAAGTATTGGAGATTTTTTTTAAAAGTCTCAAATCAACTTGAACAAAAAAAATTCCTTTTATTTATTTATATAACAAGTATCCAAGCGGTTCTGGCTTCAAGTATGTCTGGATCCAGATACTCATATGGTGTTATCAGGAATTGGTATCCATCCCTGGCTCTGCTTTCCTCTATGTTGGCTTCCTTCTCTGGAAGACTCCCCTTCTGTGGTGGCAAGATGGCCTCCAGCAGATCTAGGTGCTCATTCTGCCAGCGTGGCAATCCCAGCAGAAAGAAATTCTCTCTCTCCCAAAAATTTGAGCAAGAGGATCAGGATTGCCTCTGTTTGACCTGGCGTTGGTCAAAGGCCCACCCCAGAGTTAGTTACTGTAGCCAGAGGGATGTGGTATTTTCATGGGTTGGAGCTGAGTCCCCACTAGAGTTAGGGGGTAGTGCCATCCCTATCCAAAGCATAAGATCAGTATCAGGGAGGTGTGAATTTCCAAAAGAAAGAGAGGGATTCTGTGTGCGGAAGAAGGGCACTGCACTGGCCAACCACAAGATGGTCACTACAGCATTCTTCACTCAGAGTTTGGGAGGCTTCGATTAATTCATTTTTCTCCTGGTCCTTTTTCAGTACTGAGTTCCTTAGCTTCTCGCTCTAACCCACAAATAAACCAGAAAAGTAAAAATTATTATTTTCATTGGATCACTGTATCAAATACAATAAAACAGGAGCCAATACATCAACAAAGGAACTCTTTTCATGAGATTTCCTGGCTAGTCCTACAGACCCAATAGTTACCTCCAGGTAATATTAAGCATCAAAACGTTATTCATCCAAACTCCTACATCTTCTAAGGCTCCCACAATACTGGCATAGAGCCAACTTTTAATTATTGAAGAACGTAGAATATGGACAACCAGGGATAAAACCCAAAGTCTTGTTTTTAGCCAACAGATTCAGCCTCTTTCCCAGATAAACCTTCACCCCAGCTGCAGGGAGGAGCCACACTGACTAATTTGACTTTCACATCTGGTAGAACTGCTCCCACACATACCTAGATAGATCATAACTCCTCAACACACTTCACAGAGCCTGATTAATTCATATCAACTTACCCCAAATGCAAAAGGGGAGCATTTTATCATTTTGGCAATAAGACTCAATTAACCGAGAACTCAAAAAGCCAATGGTGAAAAGCAAGTACAAAACCTGATATTTTAAACTGAATTCCTTCCTGCCCTACCCCCTATCTCCGGCTTAGCCAACACTCCCAACCATCTTTCCTACCATCCCCATCGTATAAAATGACTTCTTTCTCATCTACCCTTAATTATTGCTACCTAAGCATAAACAGATCACCAGGGAGAGACTGTAGATGAGAAACCAAAAAGGTTGAAGTTCTACTAGCTGGCAGTTCTATTTCATGGTAGACGCCCTCACCTCATTTACTCCAACTGCCAAGTAATCTCGTCCTATTCACTAGAAGCCTTCTCCATCCTCTCATTTGGAAATTGTCATATGGACTGCATATTGTACCCAGTCTGATGGCTAACTGTCCAGTCTTTTTTTTTTTTTTTTGAATTAGAGTTGACACACGGTGTTCCATTAGTTTCAGGTGTACAACATGGTGATGCGACAAGTCTGTAAGTTACACCCTGCTCACCACAAATGTAGCTCCCATCTGTCACCACACAGTGCTATTACAATAGCATTGACTGTATTCCTGAGTCCGTGCCTCTTCTTCCCATGACTTATTCACTCCACCACTGGAAGCCTGTACCCCCGCTCCCCTTCACCAATTTGCCCATCCCCCCACCCCTCCCCAACTGTCCATTCTGGAGGGAGGTTTGTGCTGCTGATGTGACAACCTGCGGACATTTCTTCAGGCCTCCTGTGTGTCAGGCACAGTGCCAAACCCTGGGCATGGATTATTGGGCTCTCTCCTCCCAAGAATTCCACAAAATGGAATACTTTTATTATCCCCATTTTCAGATGAGCAAATTAGGTTTAAAAATGATAAAGTAACTTGCCCAAGGTGAACCCATTTGTAAGTAGCGGAACAGTGAAATGACACAAAAATGGAGAGGAGAAAGAAGAAGTGGACAAAATCCACCTGGGGCCTGATCAGTTGTTCCATGACCAGACTCTGTTTATATTTTTTAAGTAAAGCTACAATTCTTCTTTTGAATTTCCGGTAAACAAACACTTGATAAATGCAGAGACTCTCCTTTCATATAAATCATGTTAAGACATTAGGAAGAATTAAAAAATAATAATCATTTTTCAGGATCAACATATTCTAGTAACAATGAGCTCCAAAGAAATATTCGAGGTTTTTTTCTAGGAGCTTAAGTCCCTCCCTTAACTGGGAAAGAACTGAGATCCTATGGCATTGACAGGCTTGGTGGTTTGGGCTTAAATTCTGGCTCCCAAGAATAAATCCTAAAAACCCCCCATTGCAATTACAGCATTAAATGCCAGCATACGGTGGAATTCACACTAAAATGTAGAGCCAGGAGTCTGGGGTTGGAATTTCAGGTACTGATTAGCTATGGGATAAAGGACAAATCTCTTAACTTCTACAGGTTATGAGAACGATCATAATACATATGCACAAGATTGCCATGATAGTGAACGGCAAAATATGTTTGGTACCTAGCACGTGCTTAAAAAGGAAATTTAAATCACCCATTGAAATTGAAATTTTAAGTAACACTTCTTTGAATCAGTGGCCCCCACTGGGATGTTAACACCTCTAGGACATAACTATACGTCAGAAAGAAAAACAAAAGGACACGAAGATGTATGTACAGAGATGTTCATTAAGCATGGAAATAGCAAAGAAGAAAGAAATTAGGATGGCAACGAAACTGGCCCATCCATGGCCCAGCGGCTTTGAATGCAGGTGACAGAGCAGAGGTATGTGGGTCTAGAGCCAAGCTGCCTGAGCTGGGACCTTGGGTGCGTTAATGTTGTATGATCCTGGGCAAATGACTTAGCCTCGCGAGGTATCCCTCTCTTTCCTCTGTAAAATGGGCATGACAAGAGTGGTTGCCTCATAGGTCGTTGTGAGACTAAAGTGAGTTAATACTTGTAAAGTGCTCAGAAGAATATGGAGCACATCATAAACTTTGCTAAATGTCAACTATTTTGTAACCATTTTTAAAAAGGAAAAATCTTAGGTGTTCATGTGGAAAATCTGAGTAAAAAGTAGCAAATTGCATCCCGCTTTAAGAAAGTAGGTATATATATGTAATTATTATATAATTTTGTTATATTTATATAAATACATGTATTTCTAAATGAATAAGTATTTTACTTATATAAATAATATATTTATAAATGTATGTATAATATATTTACATCATAATATATTATATTGTATACTTACATGTATAATATTTTATATTTATATTACAAATGTATGTATTTGTGTATGTATTAAAATTGCCTATTTTATATATATATCATTGCACAGTTCAGAAAAGAAATGGGAGGAAGCTTTTTTTTTTTACAGTGTTACCTCTGAGGCATGGAATGAGAGGACTAACGACCCTCTACTTATATAATTAGTCCAAGTGATGGGATTATTTACAATTTTTTCCTTCTCAACTTCAAACTTTTTTCAAAGAAATCAAAACATTAATGTTACCTTTATCCGATGCTCCACTGGAAAGGGACCTCCTCCTTTCCTAGGAATCCCTGCAACACAGACACTGAGGCTCCTGGTCCTTTAAAGGATCTGAGGAGAAACAAAGGGGGACTCCAGAGGGGCTTTGGAACATCTCTCGAAGCCTAGGAGAAATGGTGCATTCGCTGGTAATACGGCTGCTTAGCATAGCTGAAGAACCCATGTCCGGACCAGCGCTAGAGTTACATTAATTCAGTATAACGCTGATTACCTCAGGCCGGGGAGACATTCCGAGGGGTAGTTTTATTTTTTACAAATTATGATTGATTGTTTTCACACAGAGAAAACAACACTGGGCTTCATAAGTGAAAGCAGTCTCTCTTGGCTGTTCCTGCCTGATACGAAGAACTTTTTAAAGGCCTCAAGTCAGGTGGCAGTTTTTGCCAATTAACAACTTGATGGTCTCCAGGTCCGACCTGACCTTGCCACAGTCTCTCACTTCTTTTCACGAGATAGGGAGTCGTAAATAATATACCAGCTACATGGGTGGCTCTGCCCACCGCTGTAGGTCACCTCTGGCCCCTCTCTCTGCGCGGACCCCTGGCCTCATCCTCCCCAGCGGAGCCCGGCGGCGTGGCTGACCGTTTAGTCATCCTTCGGAGCCACTCTTCCAGGAAAAGGCCATTGTTCCTGCATTTCCTGATCACTTACTTCCTGTCATTTTTTTTCAAAAGGGAAAGAATAAAGACCGTTTGAAAATCACAAAGGGTTCTGCTCAATGTCACAACTGTAGTTTATTGTATTATAATTATTTGCTTGATTTGGGGGCCATCTAAAGACACCACCACTTGCCTAACCTAGTCACCAGTGTCCCAAAGCTGTGGGCAGATTCCACATCCACCCCCAGTATGAGGGTCCCCTCGTTTTCATTCACAAGTTCCCGTGGCTTGCAACTTATTTTGCTCCAAGACATCAAAGAAAGCCCATCCATACTACCCATGACACATTTGATGAAGAAGATGCTCAGATACAGTGAGGGTCAACATCTTCCTTAACTGGAGAGGAGGTGGCAGGCACGGGACGACCTGGAAATGGCTCCTCTCTGTTCCTGCCTTTCCCCCCAGTTTACAGCTGACTAAGGGGAATGATCATAACTGGGCCAGACAAACTAAGTCTTGCTGTCCAGAAGGGACTGAGTCAGCAGGAGGGGGAAAATGAAGAGGTTGGAGCTCAGGAAACAAGGAATCTGGGTTTGACTCTTGGCACACACATGCACGCAAGCACCACCTCCCCCCCCACCACACACACACACGAGCGAGTGTTTTAAGGGCTTGCTTTGTGCTCAGCACTGGGCTAAGCATTTATATATGCTATCTCCATTAATTTTGACAACCCCATGACACAGTTTCTTTTATTCTCGCCATTTTTCATATTAAATTAACCTGTCCAAGTTCACACAGCTAGTAAAGTGGCTGAGCCACAGCTCACTGACGCTTAACCCTCCATTGACTATGGGATTCCTGTGAGTCACTTAATCATGCTGAACCTCATTGTCCTCATTTGTAAAATGGGAATAGTAAAACCTAGAAGGGGCGCCTGGGTGGCTTAATCAGCTAAGCATATGACTCTTGATTTTGGCTCAGGTCATGATCTCAGGGTCGTGAGATCGAGCCCCAAGTTGGGCTCCATGCTGAGCATGGAGACTGCTTAAGATTCTCTCTCTGCCTCTCCCTCACACTCTGCCCTTCCCCCTCCCCAACACTCTTGTGCATGTACACTCTCTCTCTTAAAAAAATTAAAAAATAAAAATAAAAAAACCTATAAAACCTGTCTCCATATTGTGTTGAGAATTAAATGAATTTATGCATATAAAGTACCCCACACAAAGGTTCATTTTCTCCTCCTTTCCTCAGCTTTGGTTTGCTTCTAGGTAAAATGCTTATGTCACTGGGTTATTGTAAGAATCGAATGAGAAAACAATGAACGAGCTTTGGAAACCATAGTTTGTGACATAAAATTTATTATTATTATTCTCAGATACATTTTAAATAAGCCTATATGACCATGACATACAAATATGTATATATGCATACTCAGTTCTATATAGACCGGCACCATCCCGTAGAAATACAATGCAAGCCGCAGACATGAGCCACATAGGTAACTTTAAATTTTCTAGTAGCTACAAAGAAAGTAGAAAGAAATAGGTAGGAGCACCTGGATGGCGCAGTCGGTTCAGCGTCTGCCTTCGGCTCAGGTCATGGTCTCAGGCTCCTGGGATCAAGCCCCGCATCGGGCTCCCTGCTCTGTGGGAAGCCTGCTTCTCTCTCTCCCACTCCCCCTGCTTGTGCTCTCTCTCTCTCTCTGACAATTAATAAATATTATCTTTTAAAAAAGAAATAGATAAAATTCATTTACGACTATCCAAAATATGATCAATATACAATCAATACAAAAATTATTTATGAGATATTTACGTGCTTTCTTTCATAAGTCTTTGAAATATGGTGTGTATTTTACACTTACAGCACACCTCAGTCTGGACTGGCCACTCTTTGAGTGCTCGGTGCAACTGGACACACACCGGCACATGTGGGAGGCAGTCACCTTACTGGACATGTGGTGGGTATAGTTAGCTCCACAAGAAACTGTTCATAACGGTTGCCTAGTGAAGAACCTCTCTGGGGATGGAGGTAGAAGGGAGAATTACTTTTGACTCTCTACCTTTTTGTGCTCTCTTAATTTTATGCCTGTGCATGTCTTGCCTTTTCAGAATAAAATGAGTAATTTTTACAGCACTTCTTTATGGTAACTTCTTATTCACTCTAGATAGAAATAGGGACTGATGATTCATGCAGCATGAAGACAATTATCAGCAATGAATAACTCTTTCCTATTCCTCTTACTCTTGTCATTGTTTAGTAATTTAAAGAATCTGTCTCAGAGAAGTGACGGTAGAGCAATGATTTGCTCTGAGAGAATAGTCAGGCGAGGGGAATATTCCTGAACTGTGGAAATCAGTCAAATTAGAAATGGGGTTTTGTAACCCGTTTATAGCCAAGGGAGTGGAATATACAATGATCCTACCTGGTGGGGAATCTTCTCAAACATTCCCACCATAAACTCATGGCAGATCAACAGAGCAGGAAATTGTGGGGGGCACATGAAGGCAAGGACAGGAAGACAGGAACAGGAAGGACAGGTGAAGAAAGATGAGATTTCCATAAACAGGAAACAACCGTATGGCTTCTTTACCTCTTAAATCTTATGTGGAGACAAGCAGAGAACCCCACTCCCAACCAGGAGAGAGGACCTACCTTCTCCCATCCTTCCGGCTTAATCCTGGCAGATATTCAACTCAGGTGAGGTCAATGTATCTTCCTCTAATTCCTTCACTGTGGGGCAAGGTGGGCTTCTTGTGGGGAGAGAAGAGGCAGAGTAGATTGGTTGCTTGAAGGGAAGGCGACACCGAATGTTCCAGGGAGACGTCACAGAAGTCAGAGAGACGCAGGGTGGTGAAGAGTAGTAGCCAAGAAGAGTGGTGTGGCTGTGCACAAAGATTTAGCCACCGGGATATGGTGCAAGGCATCGTTCATAACCTGGAAACACTGAAGACAGCCCCAGTGTCTTCAGTAGGGGGTTATCTGTGATATAATTCAGAGGAAAAAGCAAATTATAAAATAATAGGACATGATCACTCCACTCCTAAAAGTAATCACATGCACACACATACACACCCACACACATGACTGGGCAGACATTTATTAAAATAAAAAGGGAAGTGGTGGGACTATAGATGTTTGTCAATCTTTCCTTTTGCTCACTTGTATTTTCCAGCTTTTTGGACAGTGAGCACATATTCATCAGCAATAATATGGGGGTGTATATCTCGGATATACAGAGAAAAGGTAGTTTCCTTATTGGATCTGTAACTAACTCATTCTTCTTTACAATACCCATTTGTTAAAAGGGAAACCTTAACTTTTCATCCTATCTCCTTAACCTGGTTCAATCTAGTGCATTAAATGGTCCCTCTAAATATGCATTGTCCGGTATGTTAATTAATTAACATTTAAATTTCAATTCCACACGCATCTATTTGATTTTCCTTTTGATTCTTTCAAATTATTTTCAAAAAAAAAATACAAAACAAATCTTTACTTTCCCTGCCCTTTACTCAGAAATATTTTAGCTCTCTTCCTAGTTATCCTTAGAGGTAAAGAAATTAAAAGCTAATTTTCATCTTGTACGTGTTCTATGATTTCAGAATGGAAAAATAGATCTCTAAGAGAATAAAGACTAAGAGAGAATAAACAAAAAACTTTATGTTATAGTGCAAAGATTATGAGTGCTACTGTTTTCTATTTTAAATTCTCTCTCAATGTTGTTACTTCTTTTTTACAACAACAAAAAAAGTTAAAATTGAAAAGAAATTCAATTCCTCAAGGTACTAGCCACAGTGCCAGTGTTTAACAACCACAGGTGGCTCCTGGCTACCCTACTGGACATTTAGAATGTCTGCCTCGTCGCAGAATGTTCTCTCAGAGAGTGCCATTCCAAATAAAGCGCCATCTCGGATTTCTGGGCCATCTGGCCCCTCCCTGGCTGCTGCGTCTGGGTGAGGCCTGGAGGGGTCTGGATGTGTGAGAAAATAGTGAAGCTTGGTGGACAGGAGCCCTTTGGCTTAGTGCTGGTCTTTGTGAGCTCAGGCTGCTTCAACCCTGGGGGGCCCTTGAGCAGTTTTTAGGTACCCATACAAACATCCCTCATTCAACTTCCTGACTTCAGGGTTTTTACCGAGGCCCAGGCTCTGTCTCCTCACATGGTCCCCCAGTCCACAAGCAGGCCTGAGTGGGGTCAGGGGCAAGCCAGCCAGCTTCCTCACTGGACCACTTTCTGTGACCCATTCTGCAGGGTGGGCCCACGGGATTCCCTGAACTGCCTGTCCCTCTGGCCCCAGCCCCTTGGGAAATTGGAAACTCTTCCAACAGAAGCCTCCCTCAGCCGTGTCTGATTAAGTCTGCAGGCCACCCAGTTTCCTAGAGTCTGATATATCAACGACCTCTCCAGAGAGGCTACAACTATCCCAGGCTGTACCCAAGAAGTTGCGACAAGGCTCCAGCCCTCAGACTCCCCGAAACGTCTCTGACTGCTTTTAACAGAAATCCTCCCTGAGAAGTTCCAGCCCAGAGGGGGACAGGCCCAGGTGCCTGCTTCTCACCTCTCCCTTCTCTCCTTCCCTCTCCTGCCCACTTCTCTTCTTTCCATTGAGTCTTGGGGCTGGAAATGGGTGGGATATTCGTTTACTACCCAGTGTTCTATGGCAAAGCAACAAGCTTAGTAATCAAGCTATCTCATCTCTAGTTGAAAAAGCAAGGTCTTTTCCTCTGTGTGTTTTAAGGGGAAATTAAGGAATTCAGAAAATCCCTCCTCAAAACAATAACTGTCTTCCGGCAGAATGCAATTTCATTTTCAACATTAGGGAGGGATTATTACTTGCACGTTTGTCTTTGCATTCTATATGTAAGATTTCCAATGTCCAAACTGCTCCCTTATGTTTTCCCACGCCACCCACTCAGGCAGATGGATGCCCTGGTCCCACCAGGGCTTAGGTCATTTCCTCAGAAAATTAACCCCAAAAAGCACACGAGCGAGTTCCAAATCATCCTACCAGTTACAATAAGGAGGACAAAAATTAATTTTTTTTTTCGTTATAATGGTTGGGTTAAACTAATCAGAAACTATCTTTAGAGAGGAGGTAATTGCCAAGGTCACCTTTTTATCTGTAATTGGGCCGGCATCAGATGGATGTTAAAGACTGACATCCAGAGTCACCACACCACTAGCTCTGTGACACTGAGCAAATGGCTTTACCACCCTTCACCTGTTTCCTCATCCATAAAATGGAAATAATAATGATGCTATCATGCACTATCAAGAAAATGAAATGAAGGGCGCCTGGGTGGCTCAGTTGGTTGGGCGACTGCCTTCGGCTCAGGTCATGATCCTGTAGTCCCGGGATCGAGTCCCGCATCGGGCTCCCTGCTCGGCAGGGAGTCTGCTTCTCCCTCTGACCCTCCTCCCTCTCATGCTCTCTGTCTCTCATTCTCTCTCTCTCAAAAAAAAAAAAAAAAAGAAATGAAATTGAGAATGTAAAGCACAAAGTCTGCAACACAGTAGCCACTTGGGAAACGTCCCATGACAATGTGATGACTGAAAAGAGTAACAACATTAAACAGAGAAATCTTAGAGCAGAGAATAATAGTAATAGCCTACTCTTGCTTTTCAGCCCAGGATTATGGTTTAAAATGGCTACAAGTATAACCATTACATGAGTTTATCTCATAGAATCTCCAACTGTAGTAGAATCCCAGGGATGTCAGATCCTTACAGACCACAGGCTCAACACCCCCTCAGACATTAGGATCTCTGACACCAGGGAGACACTTGTTCCATCCTTGGATGTCTCCACAGGAGGGGGACTCTGCTTCCAAAGGCAACTGGGTTTTCTTTTCTTTTTTCTTCTTTTTTTCTGAGTTCTGATGGTTCTAATTCTCTCCTTCACCTTATGTATTACTTTCTGTCTTTACAACTTTTTCTTATTTACTATCTTTAAAAATCCATAATAATTCAAACAACACAGCAGTTTGTAAGGTGAACTATTATAAAAGTTTGCAAAGTGAAACATTAAAGTTTGCCTACCGTGCTCAACAAAATTCTACTCTCCAGAGAAAACTCCTCTCAGTGGTCGTGTTCCCATCCTATTTATTCAAACATTTTCTGTTTATACACAAAGTTATGGACACGTGCATTTTTACATAAATGGGACCAGACTCTATGTACACTTCTGCTACCAGCTTTTTAAAAATCAAATAGTGCATCATGGACTTAGTCCCATATCCTGACACAAGGACTGATATCACTGCCAGGCCGGTCCATGATGAATGTAACATGTTTCTCCTTGGCGGGCCTCTCACGGGCCCTCATTTGGCCTTTTGCTGCCACTTGAAAGAGTCTTGATGGTTTTAAAACATTTCCAATCAGCCTGCTAGCTACCATGTGGGAGCTTTCTCTAAGCTGAACATCCCTCCTTCCTAATGTTGTTCCTCATATGACATAGTTCTAGGTTCCCCCAAATGTGCCAGAGCTTCTCTGGGTCCCTAGAACTCAACAGCACAGCCAGGACAGCTGCCCCATCGGTACCAAGCTCAGGAGGCCAGGCCTGCCTTCCTGCTGGAGAGCTTGGGAGGCCGCTCATTGGCCAGGCAGCCAGTTTCCCTCATCATTCACAGTTCGCGACAACACAATTTATCTTCTAAACCCAAACACTTTTGAGAGTGGAAAATACACCAACTGGATGGGATGTGGAAAAACCAGAACGGTCTAAAGCAAAATCGAGAGCTTTTCGTGTGAAAGTTGAAATCGGTTAAAATTGTAAGGCTTTCCCTTTTTTATACCAACTGACTTTAAGCCAAGTGCCGAAGCTATAGGACATGCATTGCAGACAAACTTGTCTCCATTGGGGGTAGATTTGGTTTTTGAAAAAAGCAAATCTTTGTCAGATAGAGCAGACATAAGAAATAAACTATTCTAATTTCTTTTATAGATGAAGAATGAAGCCCAGAGGAGCTAAGGGATTTATTAAGTTTATTATTCAGTTAATTGGTAACATCTTTTTTAAGGAAAAAGGGATTTCCTTTTGGGAATTCCTTTTTTGGGAAAAAGGAATAAAAATTCTAACCAGTGCCTATTATGGATCAGTCACCATGCTAGGATTTTTTAAATATATTTTTATTCAGTTAATATTAATTGAGCATCTACTACATGCCAGCCACTGTTTTATGTGCTTGGGATGCCTTCCCTGTCCTCAAACAGTTTACGCATCTATTGACTCATGACACCTACCAACAAACCACCAGAGTCCGTATTCTTATCCCATTTTAGGATATGTGAAGATACATAGGAGAGTGACACGTATGTGGGAAGACATGGAGGCCCAGAAAAGTGAATATATTTTCCCAAAGTCACATACTGAATAAGCGGGAGAGCAAGATTCTGACCCCCCGCCTTCCACCCAGGACTCACACCACAGCCTCCTCAAACCCTGGCATAGAGTCTGGCATCGGGAGGCCTGGGGCCAGGGGGCAGAGAAGGCTCAGGATTGACCCTGATCAGTGCACAGTGTCTGTGATCCACAGCAGAGGTAGGGGTGACCTCTGTCAGACTCGATACCACTGACGACACTCCTTACCCAGGGCTTGTCTAATGGTGAGAAAAATCAGAATTTATATTTTTTTAAAGTCTACTTTAGACTCCAGATACAATTTTTTATAACATGCTGTAGAGAGACGCAGTTAACACAACAACAACCAGCATTTGAGAGGGTCTCTGCAGCTTTCTAAGTGCTCTGGTGTACATCCTCACACTGAATCCTCACAAGAACCTTACGAGGAGGGAGGACGGCAGGCTTCGTGACCCTAATCCTACAGACAGACTGGGGAGGTGCGGGGCGGGGAGCAGCTCGCCGAAAATGCCAGAAGTGGTGGGCGAGAGCCCGTATACCAACCCGGGACCTTTCATTCTACGTGAATCAGTAGGCGATCCCTGTCTATTTCATTAGCCAGCATGGAACACTCTCATGTTATCTGGGTAACTGCCATTTGGGAAAGTGATGCCTTTCCTTCTCACCGGTGCCTCGGAGGTGATTTAAACTACAAGGGCACGTTCCATCCATCCATCGCTCTCAGGCTGGATCCCGTCCGAGCAAACAGGCCGCCTGGCTCGGGTTTCTTTTCCTTGGTGTTTTCTTATCTGCGTCTCACCAATGGCTTAGCCTCTGTGGGTGAGTGGGGTCAGGAAGTGGCACACACACTCTGTTTTTATTCTCTGTGTGGAAATTTTCTAATTATAGGTCACACCAAGAGTTTCCATTCTCCCCCGTGGCACTTCAGTCTGTTTATGTAACTTAATAAGCAAAGACCCAGCACATTTTTTTTTTTAAAGACTTAAACCATGAAGCTTTTAATGAGGAATCAAACTCATTCCCTTATCTTTCTGCCTAGTGAATAACCGGTCGTCTGTTATCTGCTTAGTCTGTAGCTGAAATTACGATCGCCTCTCTGGTCAGGATTTTATAGTCTGATTACGCCTTAAGCTTCCTGTGTAAGCCATCAGGGAAAGTGGGGACATTAACTCTCCACCACCACCACCACCACCACCACCAAAAAATAGATCCAAATACAATCCTTTAAAATGCCAGGCTTCACAGAACAAAGATAGATCACAGAAGCAACAAACAAGAGTTGTAGTTCAAGAGGGATAGATACACCCTAGCATATGATGCAGGAAAGGTGCCCATTTAGACCATAAAAGGAGTGAGATTTTAGACAGTTTCTATGCTTCTGGGAACACAAACTAAGGGCTAAGATTTAAACAGTTTTATTCTCATCACAGAGATATTTCTTCCCCCAATGTAACTGCCTGAAAAGATACGTATTTTTTTAAGTTTAAGCCATTTCAGTCTAGGATCTCCTGGAAATGTATTCAATAATAGTAACTTTTAGGCAAAACTTGCTCAGTAGCAATAAACCAATCCTATTTTAACCAATTTAAGCTATTAACCAAAGACACATTTTTAAGCCAGATTCTTTTAAAGTCAAAAAACAGCTATGTAGCAAAGATTCTGTTCTCTTCCTACCAGCAGTATGTAAACAGAAATCTCTTTTGCAGAGCCTCTCCACAACAGAGGCTGAAAAGGAAATACAAAAGACAGGATTTTGGTAAAAGACCCTGACCCTGAAGCCCTACGTGAATATTATTATAAAATTAACTTTTTGATTATCCTCCAGGGGCTGCAGAACACATCTAAATGGAAGGAAACTAATTTATGAATCAGGCTACCAAGCGGGATCAGGAAGGTGCTTGCTGTTCGGGAAGAAACAGCTCCAAAGCAAGAATGTAGGGCCCAGGAAGAAAAGTCATCCAACCCCAAGAAAGTCACCGAGCTTTGCTGAAGCAGCAACCGCAGCAGCCGCACCCCCAAAACTTCTCTTCGTGACATCCTTAATACAGTGAAGAGTAAAGGAGGTACCACGTGGTATGTTTCAGGCACAGAACCCGGCACAAAGTCAACGTCATTGCAATCATCATTGTTGCTATTATTTGGGAGTTCCCAGGCGGTGTCCATTTAGGGTATTTGAAACAGATAAACAGACATCTTTCAGCCTTTAGGTTTCTCGGTCAATTTTGTTTTAGGCTATGTCCCATTTTGCTAAGTGGAAAAGTCTTACTCTGCTGTCTCAATTAGAGCACAGTATGTTCCCTGTGTGGGAATATCCCTGGGAATCCCTAAAGAATCTGTCTTTTTATGTAGGCTCTCCAGTCAGGAAGAATTTGTTGTGCTTCACTTTTGTTGATTATAATATGAAAGGAGTCCATATTTTCAATTGTTCAGTATAATACAGAATGTTTCATGTATATAGTAGTATATTGCCTTATTACATTATTTCATATAGTATCAGATTCAATATTCTTTCCCCAAGCATACATAAGCCACTTTCTCCTCTCCCCAACACCCCTCACTGAGCCATTCATGAAAATCACTGTTTTAGGACTTAGTTTAGGGGAAGTATTCCATCTCCGATGCAGGTTGAAGGGTGGTCTTCGAAAGAAGCGGGACATCAGGAGCTCGCTGAATTCCCATGAACTGAAACAAGAAAGCATTCAGGAACATACAGTCACTACGGAGAAAAACTAAAAGAGGAAGAGGAATAGATTGATTATACTGGTGAAAAATACATAGGATGCTCTTTAGCCCATCCACAGACTGAAAGCCCTGCCCTGCGCCACCAGACTTGTAACACCCAGGGAATCCAAATACACGCACTCAAATACAATCACTAGGTCCACCACCAGCCCACATGGTGCTTTTAGACAAATTCAAAAAGGACACCCCTTCAAGGCACTTTACTTTCATCTTCTAAAAGTCACTGTAATATACTGACTTTTTTTAAGAACAAGAAACTTAACTCCCCTGTGCTTTAAAAGTATCATGTAAATTTGTACAAAGCCAGGACATCTAGGATATGAATGATGCTCCATAGAAGGTCCCTTGTTTAGTCTACAACTCGAGCTCAATGATGCACAGCTCCCCTGGGAATGACTTGTTTCATGCCCATCACACTGACCATGAGCAGTTGTGTCTGCTTTACACCTGGCTTCAGCTCAGTTCCTGGAACAGAGTATGTTCTCAATAGATATCAGTGGAATGGCTGAATGATTAAATGAATGAATGAGTGAATGGCCCTCCTTTAACACAAGCATCTACTGCAAAAGTGGGGGGGGAAAGCATGGCTAATGTTTACCGAGCACCTTCTGTGCATCAGGTCCTATTCTAGGCACATATGCGCATTCTCATGAGAACCCTATGAAGTAGTTACCATGACCCTCCATGGCCCCAGAGGCTCAAAGAGGTTAAGTAACTTTCCAAGGTTATCCTGCGGGTTGAGTCACAAACCACATGACCACCATCATCACGTTCCTACCCATTACAATAGCAAGTCAGTCTATAGTCTGCATTGCTCTGGGAAGCTGCCACACCTACTACAAACAAGAGGAGTTGTTCCCTTGTGTGGCCAGCTCAGGAAAGAGAAGGCACTAGAAGCTCCATAGTCTGGTTTCCCTTTCTGTCTATAGAGACAAAGTTATGCTCTCCATGCAACTCAAGCCAGGAATGAGGTCACGCAACATTCCTGGCCCTGGCCTGCATGGAAGACTCACCGTTGAAGTCCGTGGAAATTCATTCAGCTACAAAATAACGGGCCCTTTTATCACCTGTGGGGGTAACACCTGGGCGGACAGCACATTCTGAAACGTCCTGGCCACTAGATGGCACCGAAGCTCAAATGTCCCAAGTCCAGAACATTGCTCCCGCCATGTTTTCATTTAGATCATAACATCAGTACAACAGTGGCGGCATTATTAAGCACTTCCTGGGTGCCAGGTACTCGCCCAGGGTCTCTGCAAGCATCATCTCATCTAACCCTCACAACAACTCTACAGAGCAGATGTCTCACTATCTCCATTTTACAGATAAAGAAGCTGAGCCAGAGGGAGGTGAGAATCATGGCCAAGGAAACCCGACTTGGGAAGAGGCAGAGCAAGGATTTTAACCTAGCTAAGCTGGCGCTCCCCAACCTAGTTCTTAGCCACTCCACTGTTGTGTTTCCTCCTATGCTTTCTTCATCTTTGCGCTTAGCTGCTGGGCACAGGCTCAGTAACTCCTTTTGCAAAATCTTCTCTCAAGGGGGAGAAAGAAAAACCCCATTCAGGCCACATAAACATGTCAGGCACAAGCCAAGACTTAGGTTTACTGAAGCTATTTACTCAAGGGCACAACCTCAAAAGAACACCATCCTGGTGGTGAAAAAATGGGTCACAGCCTGTGGTGCAGGGAAGCTAAGTTGGCTGGCTCTGGCTGCCATGTCTCACATGCTAGAGAGAGCCCCCAGCAGATGACCTGGGGGCGGGGGGTGCCCTGAGTCCTCCATACCCATCAGGGGGTCTAGAGCAGGTCCTTAAATTCTCGAGCTTCTCGTATTGTATCTGTTTAAAGGGGTAAATAATTTATGCCCTGTCCTCTTTATGGGGTAAAAATAAAACATGTCCAAGTGTTCACTGTTATTGTTTAATGATAAGTAAAGCATATATCATATAAACCTTCTTTTCCCCTTTTCACCTAAGCAATCTCCTCTTTGACCTCCCTGCCCCCCGCCTTTCCTTTTTACAACCTAAGTCTGTTTCCAGAAAACTGTTCTTAAAGCATAAATCTTACCATATCTGCTCTCACTCCCAGCCATTGACTCTATCACCAATTCTAAACATGGTGGTGAAGGCCTCACATTGCCCACTTTCAATATGCCTCTTCTTCCTCATCTCTCCCAACTCAGTCCCCTCCTTCACCTTATGCCCTAGCTACACTAGATTATTTGCTATGCTCAGACAGTTTCCTTATTTCCCCACCTCTGTGTCTCTATTCAGTCATTCCCTCCACCTGTCTGTGGTTCATGGTGCCCAACATTCCGAGCCATTGACCTTTGATTAGAGCCCCTGATCTTCCTTTCAAGAATGACTCCCCTGGCATTGTACTGGCCAACAGGTGGGCACATGATCCAAGTCAGGCCTTCTCACCTTGAAATTTGTACCTTGAGAGAGGTGACCTGACCCAACAGTATTGGAGTTGACCCATCCTTATAGACCATACTCTGAAAAAAAAAATCTGAAACCAATCCTGATACATCAATTCACAATGTCTATTCCCTTTTTTTAATTTTATTTATTTATTTGACAGAGAGAGAGAGAGCAAGAGCAGGAACAAAAGCCAGGGGAGTGGGAGAGGGAGAAGCAGGCTTCCTGCCAAGCAGGGAGCCCGATGTGGGGCTTGATCCCAGGACCCTGGGGTCATGACCTGAACCGAAGGCAGACACTTAACGAATGAGCTACCCAGGTGTCCCTGCCTATTCCCTTTTATTTCAATTCAGAAGTGATTCCCACAATACCCAATAGATTCCCCCATTTTCCTTTTTCTCCCTGCCTTCAGTTAGCCAAGAGTCCATTTCTGCTATCTGCAGTCACTAAATCATCCTTCAAGATTGAGTTCAAGTGACAACTCCTTCATAAAGCCAAATTTCAAGCACATTGTACAGGAATTCTTTGTATGCATTTTTATTTTCCCTCTAGATTGTTTATTCCTTTAATTCGGGGACTGGGACTTGTTCATCTTTGTATCCCCAACAGCTCTTGGTGTAGTGCCTACTACATGGTTGTTTCTTGATAAACATTTGTTAACTTGAATGTCAAGCCACTTAAAAACAGAGTTTAAAGCAACTTATAGGTTTGGTAGTATTTTAATTCTGTATTCTGTAATTGTTCCTACATGTTCTTAGCTAATTGAATTTGTTTTTCTACCGGAATCATCTCTCCAAATTCTACAACCGTTATATTTTCAAGAAAGCCCAAAGAGGACAGTGAATTTGAAGGTGCTATTCCGATCCAGAGACTTCCACCTCCTGCCCTGCTTCTCGCCCCTGCTAAAATGTCAAGCCTCTGGCCGCTACCAGTCAGATCCCAAACAAGCGTGTGAATAACAATGGGAAGTGTGACAATTCCCTAGTTTTTTGTTTTTGTTTTTTTTTTTAAACCTTCTCAGGAAGAGCTTGACTATGGAGAAATCTATGTTTAGACTGTTGTCTTTTGTATTTGGTTTAGTAAACTGCATTTCAAGGCCCCTAGGATGCAAGTTATACTCATTATATGCTCAAACAATTTCCCCTTCAACATGATTTTCACGTCAGAATGATAAAGGGTAACAGAAAAATAAGAACCATTGCGGCACCAAACTGACCCATCATTAGTGTAAAACCTTAAATGAGTACAATTGAACTGTTTGTTGATGCATATATATATGGTAAATAAAGGTAAAGATTGATTTTTGTTATCTCTATGATGAAAGGGTGCTACTTTTCCTCTTTCCAGATTTGAGATCGTTTTGAAGCAAAAGAAGAGAGAAGAATAAAAAGGGAGAAGGGAAGTTGACAAGTTTTCTGAGCCTACTGCTCTTTTCTCTCCCCACCAAGAAATCAGCTAATCAGAGGCAGTCCTGGTGACAGTGGCCATCTAACAGAAGTGCGGGGGGGTTCTAGATCTACTGTAAATATTCACTAAATTAAGCACCCCTACCCTAAGTACTATTGCTTGTCCACTTTCAATAATTACTTGCTGAACATTGTGACAAGAACAAAAAACCCATGATATGTAAAACAAACATTAAAAGACTCTGAAAGGTGGGGCTCCTGGGTGGCTCAGTTGGTTAAGCGACTGCTTTCGGCTCAGGTCATGATCCTGGAGTCCCTGGATCGAGTCCCACATCGGGCTCCCTGCCCAGCGGGGGGGTCTGCTTCTCCCTCTGACCCTCCCCCCTCTCATGTGTTCTCTCTCTCTCATTCTCTCTGTCTCAAATAAATAAATAAAATCTTTAAAAAAAAAAAAAAGGCTCTGAAAGGTGGAGAGAAGAAGGCAGATCAAAAAGAAGGAAGGAATAATAAAGATAGAGTAAAAATCGATGAAAATGAAAATATTAAAAACAGAAAATTAACATAACAAAGAGCTGGTGCCTTGAAAAGATCAATAAAACTGACAAACCTCTAGCAAAATTGAAAGGAAAAAGAGAGAAGACACCAATTGCCAATGTAAGGATCAGAAAAAATAAAGGGATATCTCTATAGACCCTGCAGACATCAAAAGGAGACTAGGGAAATACTGCACACATGTTTAACAATTGAGACAAAATAGACCAACTCCTCAAAAAACACAAACTACCACAATTCACACAATATGAAAGAGATATTATGAATAGCCATATAATAATATATCAATCAATGCAGAAAAGGCATTGACAAATTCAACACACGCATGTTAACCACTCCCAGAAAAATAGTAACAGAAAGGAACTTCCTCAGCTTGATAAAGAGTGTCTACCAAAAACTTGCAACTAACATTTTACTTAACAGTGAAGAAAGTGTTTTCCCTCTAAGATCAGGAATAAAGTGGGATGTCTACTCTTACCACTGTTATTCAACATAGTTTGGGAAGTTCTACCCAGGGCAATAACCCAAGAAAAGGAAATAGAAGGCATATAGGTCATAAAGGAGAAAATAAAACTGTCCTCATTTTCTTTTTTTTTTTTTTAAAGATTTTATTTATTTATTTGAGAGAGAGAGAATGAGAGAGAGTGAGTACATGAGGGGGGAAGGGTCAGAGGGAGAAGCAGGCTCCCTGCCGAGCAGGGAGCCCGATGCGGGACTCGATTCAGGGACTCCAGGATCATGACCTGAGCTGAAGGCAGTCGCTTAACCAACTGAGCCACCCAGGCGCCCCAAAACTGTCCTCATTTTCAAATGTCATAATTATCAACAGAGAAAAATCCCAAGGAGTCTACAAAAAAAAAAAAAAAATCCAGACCTAATAGTTGAGTTCAGCAAGGTCACAGAATACAATTAAGCAAACTAAACTTAATCATATTTCTATATACTAGCAATGAACACATGAACATTTAAATTAAAAATTTCCATTCCATTTACAATCACTCAAATAAAATGAAATGCTTAGGTATAAATCTAACAGAACATGTACAGAACTTATATGATGAAAACCACAGAACAATGATGAAAGAAATCAAAGAAGATATAAATGAATAGAAAGGGATACCATGCCCATGGATTGAAAGACCCAATATAGTCAAGAAATCAGTTTTCCCCATATTGATTTACTGGCTTACTAAAATTCCTAGCAAACCCCCAGCAAGATTGTCTTGTAGGTACAAGATTATTTTTAAATTTATATGGAAAGGCCAAGGAACTAGAATAGCTAAAACAATTTTGGAAAAGAAAAATAAAATGGAAGGTTAAGTCTCCTTAATTTCAGAAAGTGTTATAGCTACAGTAATAAAGACTGTGAAGTATTGGTGGAGGGATAGACATACAGATCAATGAAACAGAACAAAGTCCCCACAAATAGAGTCACACAAATATGCCCAATTGGTTTTTGATAAAGATGGAAAAAAATTCAATGGAGGAAAGCCTTTTCAAGAAATGATGCTGCAGGGCGCCTGGGTGGCTCAGTTGGTTAAGCGACTGCCTTCGGCTCAGGTCATGATCCCGGAGTCCTGGGATTGAGTCCCACATCGGGCTCCCGGCTCAGCGGGGAGCCTGCTTCTCCCTCTGACCCTATCCCCTCTCATGCTGTTTCTCTCTCTCTCTCTCTCTCAAATAAATAAATAAAATCTTAAAAAAAAAAAAAGGAAAAAAAAGAAATGATGCTGCAGAAATTGAACAGTCATAAGCAAAAAAAGAAGAAAAAAAAAAAGAAAAAAACCTTGACCTAAGTCTCATACCTTATATAAAAATTAACTTAAAATGAATCACAAATTTAATGTAAAACATATAACTTAGGGAAATAAAAGGGAAATCTGTGGAATCTAGGACTACAAAAGGTTTGTAGACTTAATGCCAAAAACACAACCCATAAAAAGAAAAATTGATAAATCAGAGTTCATTAAAATTTAAAACTTCTGCTTTGTGAAAGACCCTGTTAAAAGGATGGAAAGACAAGCTACTGACTAGAAAAAACTGTTTGCAAGCCACAAATTAAAAAAAAAAAAAAAAGACTGGTATCTTAACTATATAAAGAACTCTCAAAACTCAAGAGAAAAAAAAATGGGTAAATTAGAAATTAGAAAATAGGTAAAACACTTGGAGAGATATTTCACTGAAGAAGATGTACAAATGGCAAATTAAGAACATGAAATGATGCTCAACTCCAGAGAATTACGCTGAGTGAAAAAAACCAAACACAAATCATTACTACTATGTGTTTCCATTTACATAACATTCCGGAAGTCACAAAATTATGTGGAAATGTAGAATGATTAGTGATTGCCAGGGGGTACACAGGGAACGGGGGGAGGAGGGAAGCAGTGTGGCTATAAAAGGCTAACATGAGGGATTCTTACCATGATAGGAATTTTCTGTGTCTTGTGTCTTGACTCCATCAATGTCAATATCTTGATTACGGTACTGCACTATAGTTTTGCAAGATGTTACCATTGGGGAAAACTGTGTAAGAAATATACAGCATTTCTCTGTATTATTTCTTACAACTGCATGTGAATCCATAGTTATCTCAAACTAAAAAGTTTAGTTAAAATTTTTTTAATAAAATAAATAAAAGATACCATGTTGAAGGGAAACACAGATGAAGTTAACATAATAGATTAAATGTAATCTGCTAACTATAATATATAGTTTCTACATCCAGTTTTATTTTCAAACTATCGAAACCCCCCTTTTTTTCAGGATAAAACAAGACAAAGTAAGAGAAAAATTTTTGAAGGGGATTGCATACCAGTTGGTTAATTGTAACATGAAAAGAGTTGAAAGTTATAGTAAAGTAGGGTGCACAAAAACGTGAGGAAATACACTGTGGAGCCAGTGGAAGTGGAAAAATCTCACTCAACCTGTTCTATATGGCCTGTGAGCCTACAAGGCCTGAAAGAGTCATCACAGACAAAAGAAGAGAAAACAAATATTTTAGGTAAATAGATTTAAATGGAGAGAAAGTAGAGAAGCCCAATTTCAAATTGGTATTTGATTTTCAAAGTCCTTTCTATTCTTAGCCTTCACGCTTTTTGACCATTGTAGTTTTGCAATTTGAACATCCCAGTTAATTCTCAAGATTATGGCAGACAAAAGTAAAATAGGTCCCCGGGCTCAGAAAATGTGTTGCTATCAAAAAGTAGTTTTTAAAATTTTATAGTTAACATAAGAAAAAAATTATTATGATTAGTCTGTAAAAAAAAATATCAACAACTCTTCCCCAGCCATACCATTTATAGATATGCATCTAATAAAGCTTAGCTTAAGTACTGCATTAATCATTAGTCACAAAGCATCTCCTTTACTTGAGACCTTACTAAAGTTTAACTTGATTTCTCTTAGGTCGGTGGTGCAGCACTCATACACCACAATTCATGTGGTGGAATTTTCTTTCAGAATCCAGACAAAAACTATCACAAGAGCATCTGTAAATTCCTTCCAACAGACTTCATGAAAAATTATACTTAAAGGAAAAGCAAATATTTCCTTAAAAGCAAGAAATGAATCACTGTCACAAATGGTACAATTAAGAACTCAGCCACAGTAGGAGAACAAGGTAAATGGAAGATGAAAATTTATATTCAGTCATGACTTTGATTCTACAGAGATGAGACAGTCTAGTGTACAACAGTTTAATTTCTAGCCTTAATTTGGCTTCTGAATGAAGCAAATAATTTTAGCCAATCTTTCCTTGTTTAATATCAATCAGAAGAAATTTTTCTTCATGTGATAGGATCAGATAAAGATTTAGGTGGCCTGAAGATTTAGGTGGCCTGATTCATGGCCATTTATTATTAATAAGCCATAATAGAGAATCCATGTTCCTTGTCTTTTCACATATTTTAAAATAAGTAGAGACTATTAAACAAGCCAAGAAAATGGAAGCAACTTGGACTTTTGCCCTGCGTGGATATTGTATGAGTGAAAAGAAAAGTTGACCATGATTCAGGCGATTTGTAAAACATCACTTTTCTCTCATAGTGTTATTTTGGGCTATCTGTTTTTAAAATCCAGTGAAAATCCCACAAACATGTATAGATTTACTCGTCTCCAACATAAAAGAAGTCCAGAAGTAAACAGTTTAGAGCTGGAAGTTCCACAGATACCAGAGACCCAGATTCATTTTTATCTTTCTGCTCCACTCTTCTTTGCACATGACGTTCACAGATACATTAGTTACGGTTCTCCAGAGAAACAAAACCAATAGGATGTGTCTGTCTATAGTCACACAGAAGACAATTTTAAGGAATTGACTCATGTGACTATGGAAGCTGGCAAGTCCAAAATCTGTAGAGTAGGCCAATAGGCTGGAGACACAGGAAAGATTCGATGTTTCAGCTCAAGTCCAAAGGCAAACTATAGGCAGAATCTCCTTTTCCTCAAGGGATATATGTTTTATTTCTCTTATGACCTTCAACTGACTTTATGAGGTCCACCCACATGATAGAGGGTAAATTGCTTTATTCAGTCTTCTGACTTCAGTATTCATCTTTCTTTTAAAAATACCTTCACAACAGGGGCACCTGGGTGGCTCAGTCAGTTCGGCGTCTGCCTTTGGCTCGGGTCATGATCCCAGGGTCCTGGGATCGAGCCCCACCGCGGGCGCCCTGCTCAGCGGGGAGCCTGCTTCTCCCTCTGCCTGCCACTCCCACTGCTTGTGCTCTCCCTCTCTCTGTCAAATGGATAAATAAAATCTTTAAAAAAAAACCTTCACAAAAAATTCTAAACTAATGTTTAACCACATATTTGGGAACCAAGGCTTAGCCAGATTGACACATAAAGTTAACAATTATCATGGCCTAATGAAGCAATCTAGCTTAGCTATCATGCTTCATTTCAAGAAGCAGGAAGGAGGTAGTGGGCAAGGGCAAAGGGTGTGTGACAGTGTCTATTTCTCTTAAGAGATTTTCCTGGAAATCTTAATCAACAAATTCTGCTTACATCTCAGTGACTAATCTTCATTGCAAAATAGTTTGGAAATTGTAATAGCTTAGTTGGGTAAAACTAGTAGTCTGCCAAAGTAACTAATTCTGATAATCCAGGCCCTAGAGTGAATCTTTGTATTTATCCTGCTTGGGTTCCATATCACCCTTTGGATTTGTGACTTGATACATTCTATAAGTTTCAGGGAACTCTCACCATTATTCAAGTATTGTTTCTGTTCTATTCTTTATTTTCTCTCCTGGTTCTCCAATCACACACATCTTAGATCTTTTCATTCATTATGTTCCTATGTCTCTTATATTCTCTTTTGTATTTTCCATACTTTATTCTCTCGATTCTTCAGTCATGATATTATTTTCTGATCTATCTTCCAGTTTATTAACATTTCCTTTGCTCTGTCTAATGTGCTCTTAAACCCATCTGCTGAATTCCTAACTTCAAGTATTGAAATTTTCAGTTATAAAACTACTGCTTTCATTGTTTCTAGTTCTCTGCTGAAATTTTCCACTGTCATCGAATCTCTTAAACATATTATTTTAAAGCCTGTGTGGGCTACCTCAAATATTGGATATTTTTGTTGTTCTATAGCCATTTTCTGGTTTTCTGCTTGATTTTTGATCATTTGGTTTGTCTGCTAGTATGCCTAGTAAAGTTTTATTGCACACCAGACATTGAAGATGAAAAGGTATGGAGATAATCCAAGGCTCTGTGTGATATTATAGTCCTCCAGAGATTTTTTACTTTTGCTTCTGGCAAGTATTCAGAGTAAGAGCAGATCACTTTAACCCAATCAAGAGCTAGCTGGTAAGAAAAAGGATTTCATTTTTTGTAATAGTTGTCTATTTCTATTTCTTCCTTACTCCTAGGATGCAATCTTTTGGGGATCCCAAATGACAGACTGAAATGTTAACTAGAGCCCTTCTTTCTTGGTGGGCTCTGGATTCCAGTATTGTTCCTTCACCTATATAACACTGATAGAAACTCAGCCTCTCCACCTCCATTTTCTGTTCAGCTTCTTAATCTACCACTTGTGAATCACCCAATACCTTGAAAGAGAAAGGCAACAAAAGTTATGTTTACCTGTGTGTGTCTCTTCTTTCTAGCATTTTGGCCTCTCACTTCTCTCTGTCTTGGTATCTTTCAGATGCTTTCAAAGAAAAATACTTTTAAGTTTTATTCATTTCTAATTATTGTCAGTTGAAGAATTCATCTGCAGTTCAGCATTGCCAGAAGTGTTCTGATTGATGATTTTTGAAGAACTGCCCTAGAATGAATCATAATCTCTCATAATCTGAATTTATCAAATTTACCCACTAATTGCCAAATCTCCACTTCACTTTGTGCTATTTAAACAGCCTGTTCCTCAGCAAGGTATTTAGGACATTGAGATTTTTTTTTTCTTTTTAGTTAATAGGGAATAAAAGTTGTTACATAACTCATTTTCAAATAAATAGTTTTTCCTGAGTCTGAACTTTTATTTTTACTTTCAGTCTAAGAACCCCATTTTGTTCCAGAAACAGAGATACTTATACTTTAGCAATGTGTAGAATAGAAAATAGTCTGGTACTTCCAAAATAGTACTCAGATTCCTTCATTTACCTAGTCCTTCTCACATGCAAGGCATTGTGCTTTGGATTGTGAGAAAAGACAACAGAACCACAGAACTTCAGATCTGAAAGAAACTTAGAGATCATCTAATTAGACTCACTCATTTTACAGAAGAATTATTTGCTATAAAACAAAAACTTTGTCTTCTTAACTCCTGCTCAAGGCTTTTTTCATGATGAAGTGCTAGTTGTTGGTGAAAAAGTGATTTCTATTTATCTGTCTTTCTTCCTCCACTATGGACTTAAACTTTTGAAAAACTTTACTAAATAAAATGTATTTCTGAAATGACAATTCATGTAATCCTTATATAAAGTATAATTTTTCTACCAATTTTTTTAAAATAATGAACATAGCTCAAAAGAAGACCCACTACTATCTTCAAGAAGTTAACAGGATATGAAATTGCCCCCTCTATGTAGAAAGATATACAAATGAATGATTATCCTCTAAGGAAGTATATGTTCTATCTATATATGATATATGATACACACATAAATCACATGCATTTATGTAACATATTCACGTATATGGTATATATGAATAAGGTGGTCATCTTATGTCTGCCTCCTGTGATAGATTAGGAGCTCCTCAAAAGCAAGAATTCTAGCTTTTCATTGTCAGCTTCAGCTTGGGGTCTGCAATATAGCAAACTGTTAAATAAGTGAGATTCTTCAAATCTATGTAACTGGTCAAGACAATAAATATTCTAGGAATTCAAAGGAGGTTAGAAAATTCTGAACTGAAATCATTGAGTAAAAACATCATGAAGAGGGGTGCCTGGGTGGTTCAGTCGTTAAGCTTCTGCTTTCGGCTCAGGTCATGATCCCGGCGTCCTGGGATCAAGCCCCAAATAGGGCTCCCTGCTCCACAGAAAGCCTGCTTCTCTCTCTCCCACTCCCCCTGCTTGTGTTTCCTCTCTTGCTGTGTCTCTTTCTGTCAAAATAAAAAAATAAAATAAAATCTTTAAAAAAAAAAATCATGAAGATGCTGGAGGAGGTAGATTTCTGTTAACATTTGGGCTAACATGGATAGGATTAGGTAGACTGCAATATGAGGTGGGTTATTGTATTTGTTTCCTATTGCTGCTACAAATTACCACAAACCCAGTGACTTAAAACAGCACTAATTTATTATCTTATAGTTCTGGAGGTCAGAAGTCTGAAATGAGTCTTATCAAATCAATTTAACAGAATGTTGTCCTTTCTAGAGGCTCTAAGAGAGAATCTGTTTCCTTGCCCTTTCTATCTTCTTAAGACCACCTGAATTCCCTGGTTTATGGCCACTGCCTCCATCTTGGGGGGTGCATCAGTGAACCTCTCACATCTCCCTTTTCTGCCTCTGGTCCTTTGCTTCCCTCTTATAAGGGTCACTGTAATTACGCTGGGCCCACCCAGATAATCTAGAGTAATCTTCTCATCTCAAAATCCCTAACTTAACCACATCTGCAAAGTCCCTTTTGTCATGTAAATTAACAGAGTCATAGAATTTGGGGACTGGAAATGCAGACATGTTTAGAGGGCCAGTATTTTGTCTACAACGGATGTTTTAAGCAAAGGTCTAACGTCGCGGCCCTAAAGTGTGGTCCCTGAGCCAACAGCAGTAGCATCCTCACGATTGTTAGAAATACACATTCTCAGGCCTTACCTCAGACCTGCTGAATCAGAAACTCTGGTGAATCCCAGCAACCTGTATGGTCCCAAGCCTTCCAGGTCATTCTGATACACACTAAACCACTCTGAGAGCTGCTGCCCTAGAGTCTGGAAAAAAGCAAAACAGGTTCAGAGGGCTGGGAGCAGTTGAATTTCACAGGGGTGGAGGATTCCTAGAGCATACAAACACTGAGACTACATGGATGGAACCAGAGCATGGACTCTCCAGTGAAGGGGCACAGCACAAGTAAATTTCTGGCTCCAAATGTGAATTGAGTGGCCTTCTTACACATTTCACAAAATAAATTACTTAACTGAAAAGGCTCATTGATGTCATGAGGCATAAAAGTAATCTGTTCAAACTCACAAATTTAACGGACTGACCTAGAAAAAATCATTTCTCTTACTTTAAAAAATTCAAATCAAAAATTTATTATGAGGATTTCTAGGTTAAAGACACAATTTTTTATCAAAATAAAGAAAATATTCAAAAGATTACTGAATATTTTAATTTCATAAAGTCTTCCTCGAATTAGTCATAACAATAGCTGTAATTCATCAGCAATTTTACCATTTTCATTTTTTCCTTGAACAAGCAGCACAGTGAGGAATTTTTAACAACACTGTTGTTATCTCTGGAAGCCTAGACCTTCTGAAGAATCGCAGGTGACTTCCCAGGAGGCTTGATTAAGAGCAGAGGACAATTGCCTTTCCCAAGGCAGAGAAATGGGGCCATTTAGAATTGTGCTCTCCTGGAGGCAAACAGGAAACAGGAAGCTCTCTGTCAGCCATTCTTACCCTGCCCCCAGAGCAGGAAGAGCAGTAGGAGGAGCCATATCAGTTACTTTGACCCAGCCCAGGAAATAAGATGGCTTATTCAGTGTGTAGACCTGGGAGGGTAGGAGAGCAGACAGCTGCTATAACCCAGTAACTCGCCCTGACAGCCAGATAACATCCATTCAGTGTGAATACTGAGGAAATGAAAAGGAATGTATACTCAAAACACATTAATTAGGCTTTAAACAGAAGGGGAGATAACAGTTTTGTCAAAAGCCGTAAACAAGCTACCCTCTGTCTCCGAAAGTCTTTTGTTGGGCCCAAAACTCCTCTGGGTGAACCGCATCCTAAACCACACCATACCGTAGCACTCAACTGTAAGAACTCAAAATGAGAATAAGCAGTATGATGAAGTACAGCACCTCCTAGTAAATATAACAATACTAAGATGCTTCCATATTTATTGCTGTACCTAGCTTCCTGGATATAAAAGTGTACCCACAGCTTGGAACATATCTTTCGTTAATGTTCTTCACAAGATTTAACAATACTCTGGAATGAATCTGAGCTTAGAAATAGAAGAGTCAAGTGTTGAATGTGCCAGAATATATCAATATATAAATATCATCACAATCAAACATTCTAAAACTTCTCTTCGGGGCACCAAAAAGGATCTACCTAGGACCTACATTATACAGACACAGTATAAGGGATCTGTACTTTGAGATCATTATTTGCAGAACAAAAAGAATTCAAGTCATGTATCAGGTGCTGTTAATTAACTTAAATACAGGTTCTGATTGCTGCCAGGTCAAGCCCACTGATCATATGACTTAACATGATCCCAAACGTGTTCTCCCTTCAAACCTCTCCTTTAGCAATGGCATCAGCAGTCCATTCACCCAGAGGAAAACCTTTACAGTCATTCTTGTCTTTATCCTCTCCTTTTTCCTCCCCACTCCCTCCATACACATATGGTTTCAGTCACTTGAGACCCTTACTCATTCTACCTCTGAAACGCCCTCACCTCTGCCTCCCTCAATCCCCACAGCCCTTCTTTTGAGCCCCATCAACTCTCTCAATCTCTCTCTCTCTCTCTCGCTCTCTCTCTCTCTCTGCTACCAACACTGCCTCTTGACTCATGTCCAAATCCTTGAAGCATTGACCTGAAGGCCCAGACACCTTCAACGCAGTTAGCCAAATGTCCTCATGTATATCTCAACCCCCCCAGGAAATTTCCATGGTTCCTTCATCAATGTTACCACGTCTCTTTTACTTTTAATGTAATCATTGTGTAAAATTATTTTCTTGAGATATAACTTATATACAATCAAGGACACAAATCTGTGTGATTAACTTTTACATATATGTACACCAGTAACCAGCACCACATCCGCATATCAAATACTCCAGCAGCTCAGCAAACTTTCACTTAGCTCCTCCCAGTCAATACTTTGCCACCTAAAGGTCACTACCATTCTAACTTCTACCACAATAGATTAATTTACCTGTCTTCAAGCTTTATATAAATGAAATCGTACAGTATGTACTTTATTGTGTGTGTTCTACTTTATGAATATACCACAACTTATTTATCTACTCTGTGAATGGACACATTTGGGCTGCTTCAGTTTGGGAGCTATTATGAATAAAGCTGCCATGAACATTCTTGTACCTACCTTCTTTTGTGGACATATGCACTCATTTCTGTTTGGTATATACCCAGATGTAGAATTGCTAGGTCACATAGTGTGTGTGTGTGTGTGTGTGTGTGTGTTTTACTTGTGTTTAGCATATACTGCTAAACAGTTTTCCAAAGTAGTTGTATTTACCACTTCCTAGATCTCTGAATTATTCCAATAGTTATGCTATTTTAATGTTAGTTTTTTATGTGTTTCTTCTCTGACCACATTTGAGCTCTTTGAACACAGATTCCTATGTTACCTTATCCCATATACCCAATATATAGATTATGATCACAGTTAGATATTTATATTACATACAAGTCACAGATGAAATACATGATAGAGCATGGCATGGTAGAAGGGCTTAGGAATCTCACATTTACCTCTCTCTGGACCCACCCCAGAGGTGACACATGCCTATCCTAGCCCTGTCAACACCTCAGTCACCCAAAAAGAGGTGGAATATTCAAATCAGTTCCCAACATTTCTTGGTCCCCCACTGAGTGCCAAAAGCTCAGTTGCATCCATCTGTCTGGTATTACCGGGTTTTAAACTTGCTGGTATGTATTCAGTCCCTTATTAAGCTGCTGGAAACCTTAATAGGCTAGAAAACCTCCAAAGTTCAACTCTTGTTTTCCCTGTAACTTTGTGCACATTCATTACGAAAAGTGCTAAGGAAAGTGTGCTCATTAACTATCCAACCTGTGTTCTAACGTGGAATCAATTAGTGCTGAAGCCCTCCACCTCAACCCGGAGATAGAAAATGCCTCCCAGAGAAACACCCCAAAAGATGCATGTCCCTTGATCTGTTTGTGCAGATGGAGGGTATTAGTTACACAAACACATGGAGAGAAGATAGGATTACGGAGGAAGTCCTCCAAAGTCCTCCAGCTCTCCCTGAAAGTGAATTTCTTGTTCTTCCTGTTTTTGCTTCTGAGTCTTAAATTTTTCACCGCTCTTATATTTCGGTGAGTGCCATGGCACAAACCACTTTCTGCTCCTTTTTGCAGAGACTGTTTTCTGCTTTTTCATGTTGCTTTTAATAAAACATTGGCTCTAGACAGCTTCTGCAACCACATCCAAAAGAAGCTCTCCACAACCTTGAAACCTTAGCCCTCCCTGAACTAGAAGTAAAAGGAAACTCCTAGAGATAAAGTTTTATAAAAAACTATGCAAAATGGAAAATATATATTGCCATTATTTTCTTTTATTCCAAGAGGTAAAGTTAAAATGTCCTTTTGGTTTTAAGTAAGGATTTTTTTCTTTCAAATGAGAGAAGCTCACGTGTCTGAGTGAGCCAGATGGTTGCTGTTGCTACCCTATTCAACAGGAGAGTTTTATGGGGAAAATTCTGATCTGGCAGTAGGCAGCCATTCTGTGAAATAGAGGCACCTCATTTTTCCATCTTAAGAGATGCTTCTGAAATGAGTCCAACAAAATAAGTATTTCTGAACACCCTCCAGCTTTTCACCAGCCTGTAGCTCCCACCTCCCACTCTCATAATCACAGTTAGTAAAATGACTGCTGTTGGAATTCACTGAAACCTGGCAAACATTGTCATTCATCCCGGGCCAGGGGTCAAGTTACCATTGGCAGAATAGGATGGATGCACAGTGTAATAATCTGGCTGTGGCTTCAGGAAAACCTCAGGCAGTTTAAATGAACTTATTTGTCCTGTGACATTTTCATAAGCTTTACAAATGTCCCACCCGATCTCCCCCTGCCAAGTCACTATGCCACTCACTCCTCAGGATTCCCAATAGAGATGGCACATAATCTCCAACTCAAGTACATCTTTGTATTTAAATATCAAAAAGTGGTAGCAAAGGAAATACAGATATTTGTAGGTTGCAGCATGCATTAATTATCTTTTAAAATTTGTAGTAATGTGAATATTTCCCACAACTTTCAGCACAAAGAATCTCCCCTTCTTTAATCCCTTTTATCTTAGATCTCATTTCCTCTCACTTCTTTCTTTTGTACCCACCTCTATCTTTTCCTCTCCCTCCTTCCCCCAACACACACACATGCACACAAACACACACACACTTTCCTGCTTTGGCATGCTTGTCCCCACATCGCCGTAACACCACATCTAACTGATATTGTTGATCTGAACAACCTCATGATATATAATTGCTCCAAGTAACCCAACACATTGGTCTTTTGCGAGTACCAAGCAAGTACCATCTTTACTATTCTTTACATGTCCCTTCCAGGCCCATGGTACAAGGGGATAACAAGTTCACACTGTCGTCCCATCAGCCATGGAATAATTACAATTTGACTAGGCACCATGATTTTAAAAATAAATTTGACATAGGAAGATTAAAGTAACAATAAAAATACTAAGTCTAATAATGATAGTTATAATCAATTACATGTAATCCTACCCCAGTAATACCAATATCCATTTTTTATATTTGATTTTATGTAATTGAATATACTGCATGCACACGTTAATTTTATGCTTTTCTATTTAACACTATGCTAAACATTTTCCCATGTTTCCCCCATAATCTTAACATTTCATTTTATAATGACTGTCCAGGTTTTTTACCTAAATTCATCTAATCTTGTCATCACTAATGTCAACTGGATAGCCCAGCAATTCTTTTTTTTTTCCTAAAGATTTTATTTATTTATTTGAGAGAGAGAGCGTGCACGCATTCACAAGGGCAGGGGGGAAAGGAGAGAGGGAGAGGGAAAAACAGACTCCCTGCTGAGCAGGGAGCCCTAGGTGGGGCTGGACCCAGGACCCTGGGATCATGACCTGAGCCAAAGGCATATGCTTAACCGATTGAGCCACCCATAGCCTATCAATTCTAAGACTACACTCCTAAGTTGCACAACTTGATATACACAATAAAACTAAATATATCTAATTATTTATAATTACTCGCCCTAGTACATGGGATATTGAGTGATTTTTATTCTGTCTTTGTACTCCCTAAATTTTCTATAATGGACATGTATCTTGGGGCACCTGGGTGGCTCAGTCGTTAAGCGTCTGCCTTCAGCTCGGGTCATGATCACCGGGTCCTGGGACTGAGCCCCGCGTCAGGCTCCCTGCTCAGCAGGAAGCCCGATTCTCCCTCTCCCACTCCCCCTGCTTGTGTTCCTTCTCTCGCTGTGTCTCTCTCTGTCAAATAAATAAAATCTGAACATGTATCTTTTTATTTTAAAACTTTAATAATAATAATAGCTACCACTTACCAAGTGTTTACTATGTAGCAGGAACTCTTCTAAGTGCTTCATATAATACTCGACCTTATAACATTTAATCCTT